TTCCCCGCTGTCCGCCCGCGGCGCGGGCTTTTGAGGCCTCGGCTGCCATGAGGAGCGCCGCGCCGAGCGCAGGGCCGGGTGTACCTCTGAGCGTGCTGTCTTGTGTTTAATAGTCGCCAGAAGCGGGGTCGCAGGGTGTGTGCTCCTGATTTTCGCGGAACCTTCTCCTGCTCCCCACGGGGCTGCCGCGGTCCCGCGCATGCGGGGTTCGCGCGTCTCCACGCCCTCGCCCGACGGGCTGGGCTGCGTCGCGTCTCTTCGGTGACAGCCAGTCGGCAGGTGTGAGGCGGCGTCTCGTCGTGTCCTGGTTTGTGTCTCTCTGAGGACTGGTGGCACTCGGCATCTTGTCCCGTGGCTGCGGCCAGCTGTGTGTCTGTCTTAGAAAAGTGTCTGTTCAGATCATCTGCCCGTTTCTTAAACAGATCGGTGTGGGGTTTTTTTGCTGCTGAGTTAACTATTTTGAACATTAACCGCTTATTGGCGCGTGTATGCTAACAAATGTTACTTCTCCTTGGGGGAATGTCCCCTTCGTCGGCATAAAACGCCCGTCTTTGCCGCGTTGCCTTTTCTGTCTTCGTCTACCTTGTCTGGTGCCGGCGCGGGCGCCCTTGCTGGGAGCGTCATCCTCCCCCTTCCCCGGCGCCGAGAGGGGCCCGGGAGGCGCCGTGTGGCTGGGCCTTGTCTAATCCCCGGGCAGCCGTGGGGTGGCGGGCGTTTGCCGGGACTTACACGGCCCTTCTCTCCTGTTGCCCGGTCGCTCTGTCTCCGCCCTTTCTCGCCTCCTGTTCCTGCCCGCCCGCCCTTTCAGCCAGGTGGTCTCCTGTGACGCGCTCTTCACTGCCTCTCCTCGAATGTCTCGGTCCCGGCCCTGGGTTTTGCTTTGGGTTTACCGTGAGGTTTGTATAAAACGTCTCGTTGATGAAGCAGTGCGTGCTCCTCTGAGAGCGTTTCGCTCGCTTGCACAAGTTCAGCCCTCCCGTTGCGTGTTGTCGTCACGCTCTGTCCTTATGCTTTATGGTGCATTCGCCAACGCGTCGCAGCAGCCACGCTGCTTCTCTGCCTTTTCCCTTTAACCGTTGTCATAAGCATTCGATGCCCTGGTCTGAAGTAGAGTTGCGGTTTCCTGCTTCAGCCTGTCTGTTGTCAGCTTTCTTGCAGTTTTGTGCCCTTTGTCTTTTTGCTTTGGGTAAAAGAGCTCTTCCGTTGTAAACGTTTCCCGTGATGGGTCTTGAGGTGGTGCGCGCCCTCCGCGCTCTTTTCTCTCCTCGCTGAAGGGTCCCTGCTGGGTTTGATTCTTGGCTGGTGGTTTCTCTCTCTGTGTTTTGGGTATACCATTCCTTTCCCAGCCTGAGGGTTTCTCCTGAGAAGTACGGTGATGGTCTGATGGAGTTTTCTTTGTTTTTGCCCTGGCTGCCTTGAGAATTCTGTCATTAACTTTTGACAGTTCTAATGCAAAGTGTGTTGGAGAAAGTCTTTTTGCATTGAGATAGTGTTCTGTTAGCTTCTTGCACTTGAATGTTCTTTCCCTACCCTAGGTTTCAGAAGCCCTCAACCTCCTGCTCCCCTCCCTCCTTGCTCTTTCTAATGGGGTCAGGTGGTTATTGTAGCGTTCCTTTATTTCTTAGTTCCCTCTGTCCCATTCGAATCTTTTCTAGGCGTCTGTCTGCAGGCTAACACATCCCTCTCCGTGTGGCTGTGCTGCCTGCTGTGCCCTAATCCATTCTTTACTCATCCGTCAAGCTCTTCAGCCCCAGGATTTGTTTGGTTCTTTTCTTACAGTTTCAGTCTCTTGGGTAAAGCGCTCCTTCTGTTCGTTAATTTTTATTCCTGAGCTCACGAGCTTCCTTCCCGATTTTCCTCATATGGCGCAGTTTCTTCGTGACGGCCATCCTGAGTTCTCCGTCATTGAAATCAGTCTCCTGTGGCTTTAGTTGGGTTTCCGGAGACCTGTCATTACCTCTCTGCTACCACGGCACCGTGGCTGTTCATGGTGCTTGATGGGTTGTTCCTCTGCCGTGCACTTGAAGTCTGAGGTCTTGTTTAGCTGCGTTTGAGCCCAACCACTGAGCAGCCTGGTAGTCAGAGGGCCCCTTAGTTCTCCCGTGGGTGGTGCTGTGGGGCGGGCTGTGGTTTTCTCTTATCTGTGCAATTCACACCTGGGTGACTGGTGTGGTGGTTGTCCTCACTGTGTCCGGGTTGCCTCAGTCCTGGGGTGCCACCACTGTGGTGGGGGGACGTGAGGGGTGGGGTAGCTGTGTTTGAGAGCCCACAGCACTGCTCCCTTGTTCCTTGTGGCCGCTGGCACCCTGTGCTGTAGCCAGGAGGCCTTAGGTGCATCTCTGCTGCTGTTAGAGGGGAGGGGGCTGGATTCTTGGGCATCGAGGCTGCTTCTGCCCCTCTTACCCTTTGCTGGGTCATAGTGTTGAAGCCGCCCCTTGACCCCTCCACTGCTCTGCATTAGCTGGGGCCACAGTGGCCACTGAACTGTATCTGTGGGCACCGTCCTTGTCCTTCCCTGTCCTGCCCCGCCTTCTGCTTTCCAGTGCACCCACCTGCAGATGTGCTGATGCTTGGGTGTCTCACGTGTGTTGTGGAGCCCTGGCTGCTGGATCATAGATGTCGTACTGATAAGTTGAGGGGAGACACAGAGGGGCCTTCTTTATCTGCCATTATGCTGACATCGTCTGGTTTAAATTATAAATTGTTTTGCTTTATAAAACTGCTCTTTAAAGTCAGTATGTCTTAAAGTTTCCAAAAACATTATTATTGCTTGTAGGACTATGAAGATGACTTTGAGGTTTGTGATGATGATAGCACGAACGAGCCAGAGCCAAGAGAGAAAACGGAAGAACTTCCTCCAGCCAGGAAAAAGGAGATACAAGAAATTCAGAACGCCATCAATGCGGAAAATGAAAGGATTGGCGAGTTGTCGTCCAAGCTGTTTCAGAAGCATGGTCGAGTGGAGCGGGAAGCGGGGACGGGTAGGTGGGTGATGCTGCTGTGTGCGTGCTCGCAGGAGGCCAGCCCCGAGTCCCTGTTACTCCAGCCAGGTGCCGTCACCCAGCATCTTGTGCTATGCTGGGCACTCAGAGACACTGCTCACTAGTGAGCTGAGGGTTATCTACAAACAGGAGCTCAGGTCACCCATCTGCTCAGGGCCTGGGGCTGGAGGTGGCTGTGAATCTTGATCAGTACAGAGACTCTCACGCTGGTCCATCCTGCTTGTCTTCTCTGTGCTGTCAGTCTGCCCGGATGCAGCATATTCTCTTGTTTCTTTGATGCCACTGTCCTTGAGTGTCCACACAGGAACCTCAGAAGCCTCAGCAGAACCAGGGACAGCGCAGTTGGTGGGAAGGACTCAGGAACGTGGCCCTCGAGTGTGTGTTTCAAGGAATTTTCTTTATAACATTAGAAATGTGTTTTGCTCAGAAATTCTTGACCTCTTGTCGTGGTAGTGATACTTGGAGTAAATATTTTTAAATCACTTATAGGGGAAAAAACTATGACATTTCGATAAAAAAAATTATCACTAAAAATAGCGCAATGTTAACTAGGACTACATTAAAATTATTATTGGGTGGTATGCTACTTCAAGTTATCTAGTAAAGTAAATCGTAAGTAATGCAGTTAATTATGACTAGCAGTTAACATGATGCAATAATCCAGTGATGGTTGGGCAGAGCAGTTATGACCCTCGTATCTGTGCCTGCTGCGGAGGTAGTGAAACTGAGCTGAGATGGCGCCATTTATAGACTACTCTCCAAATTCATAGCTAAAACACGTCCCCGAAGCCAGGAGTAGCGGTCCTGGTGGTGTGGTGTCCAGCAGGGCCCTCCATGACCTGACCTCGAGTTGTGGAGCAGCAGGTACTGGGATGGGGGGAGGTGGCACGTTCATTGCCTGCTGTGCCTTTGCTGAGAAGCCTGCAAAACTTTAAGTTCCTGAGCACATCTCTCAATTACCTTTTTTTATTAATCATGCCCTACGTTACTCTGTGCACTGTGGTCTTTAATAGCTTGATTTATAAGAATTTAGAACCCCCGTGAAGGCATTGTTTTTTGTCATGTTTTTTATTTGAAAGGACTCCCTCTGATCACACTGCTGTCCAGACAGAATAGGTGCTGCCCTGCAGGCTCCAGTTAATGTGAGCCAGTCTGGCCGAGCAGAGCACCGTCCTACCTGCTGTTGGGGCAGTAGGGGCCTTTGATAGTACTGGCTCTGTCATGGCTGTGACCTTGGGCAGGCACTTGGCCTCTCTGTAAAATAAGGGCAAGGCATTCTGTAGGGTTGTGAGGAATAATTAAATCAGTCAATACACGTAAGGTACTTACAAGAGTGTCTGCACGTCTTGAGTGTAGTGCGTTAGTATTGGTACTGCTTACTCACTATCACCTGGTGACTGAGAGGATTTGTGTTCTGTGTCCTGCTGTCTGGCCCCAGCCATCACGGTATTATTTTTGTGCAACACCCTGCCGCACCCTTATTGTTGTGTCTGCTTATAAGCTGCACCCCCCCAGGGCAATAGGAAACCATTTGATGAGTAAGTTTTTCCAGGGCACTAGGTTATGCCAAGGTATTTGAAGCAGTTCATACACCTCCGAAAGGTAAACCGTTCACTTGGTCGGTGAGTAAGTATGTACTGAGTGTTGATGCCTGGCATTTGCAAGCCATGCGGCAGGGGCATCTTTATTCAAATCTTAATCCTATGATGTTAAACATTGCCCAGTGTCCTCATTGTTAAGGCTGTCTCTTGGTATCTGTGTGGTAGTTCAGCTGGCAGGACTCTCCTTACCCACCAGTCCGCTTCCCTCCTCAGCCACGCTGCCGTGTGCGGTAGACATGCTGGCACATGAGCAAGGGACATGAACAACCTGCTCATGGGCACAAAGCAGGTGACGGGCAGACCTTCCAGCCTGCATGCCTCACATTCCCCTGTCCACTGGGCCTGGGGATTTGATAAAACTGCAAGAGGGTGTGACATAATATAGAAATAAACATTTAAACAAATGTGAGGGTAAATCCACACAGGAAACCACAGCGATCCTTAGAGGGCAGAGACAAGCTGAGGACTGTCCTGTGCACAGAGGACAGTGGGCGGAGCTGCTCACCCAGACTGCAGCTGTTAAGCCTGTGCAATTACTAGTCTCGGTCTGAGCAAGGCCAAGACCCACGCCTGGAAAGGATCAGCATTAACTTCATCCGTCTCTGTGCTTTAGCTGTTTGTAGGCTCATGCCCCAACTCCCTTACTAGAGTACATTTTGGAGGGAGATGGGGAGAGTGGGGAGGGAGTGTAGGACTGCATCGTATAGGAATTCTTAAGTATTTCTGAAACTCTCCATAGTGTGATTGGCGCATACACAGTAAATTTTGCTTTGTTGCATCAAAGTTTTAGATGGAAATAGCAGAGGTGGCCTCTTAAGTGCTCATGGATGTTTATCATTATGATCATTAGTCGTGGGCTATAATTAAATACAATTCTAATCACTTTACTCTTGACTTTTTTTTGCTTGGAATATTTGTTTCACAAAAATTGTTTGGTTTCTGTACAGATGCAAATAACTCACCTCCCAGAGCCCCTGTTTGTGGAATTTTTGTGGATTTTGCAACGGCCTCCCAGCGCCAAAAGAGTCGGACACAGGCCCTTAAGCAAAAGTAGGTGTCCTGGGAAATTCATGGAAGGTATTGTGGAGTTTTCGTGTGTTTTTTCTTCAATATACTTTTAAATTTTTTATTTTTGTTCAAAATATAACAGGTGTCCCTTTTTCTCCCCTTTGACCCCTTCCACCCCATTCACCCCCCTCCCCAGTCCCTCACCACACCATTGTCTGTGTCCTTGGGTTGCGCATATATGCATATAAGTTCTTTGGTTAATCTCCCCCTTTCCACCCACCCGTCCCCCTCTGTCCCTCTGAGATTTGTCACTCCAATATACTTTTAAAATAGAGCTTTTCACTTCATTTCTCTACTGACTGTACATTCTTTAGTGTGTGCTGCCTTTCCCTGCATTCGCTGTCATGTTAGAGCAGGTGTGGACTGTGTCCAGCACGCAGCATCCAGTGCCGCTAGTCCCAGACTTTCCCTGGGAGGTGCTAAGTCTGGCTGAGGCAGAANTGTTAGAGCAGGTGTGGACTGTGTCCAGCACGCAGCATCCAGTGCCGCTAGTCCCAGACTTTCCCTGGGAGGTGCTAAGTCTGGCTGAGGTCTGCCTTAGCCCCACTCACACATATCACATGGGTTATTTTGGATCAAAAATTATATTAAAGACTTAAAAAGAAAACTTCAAATCAGAGGCTGAAACACAAATAGATCGACGATAAATAATAATTTAGAAGTTTTTGAGAAAAATGCGGGGACACTTGATAGGTGTGAGTGGGTTCTGGTGCCTGTGTCTGTGGGTTGTAAGAAAATCCGGGTACAGAGAACTATACAAACTGCAGTGCCTGATCTACTAGATATAAGTTTAATAAATTAACTGGAAATGGGGGGAACAGAGTCCTGCTTTTTAGTACACCCAAGACCAGTTCCAAATGGGGTGAAGGGATAAATGAGTGAAGGAAGGTAACAAACCTGGTTTCTCAGTGATAGGAAAGGGTTTCTAAGACTAAAAGATAAAATATTAAATTTCTGTGAGGTGCAATCTTCCATAAATTTGACAGAATTTAAAGGTAATTAACCAATTTGGAAAACGTAATTGTAAAATGATAGGGGTGTACTATCCTTAATGCATAAACTTTTAATAATTTAGTAAGCACAGCTAACTAAAGGTCAGTTTAAGCTGGAGATCCAGGCAGGAAAACAGAAACCACAGGAGCATTACAGTAAGCATGCGATGCAGGGTGACCTCACAGGTGCTGGGAAAACCGAGTAGCTGAGCAGGGACTGTATGACCCGTCAGCGGGACAGGGAGCTGGGGCCCAGCAGCCACTCAAGCCCGAGGGCAAGGAAGCAGCTTGCCCTTCTCTTAGCTGCTCCCCCAGCCTCCACCCGGGGGACCCAGGAAGGCAAGGACACAATAGAAAGCATTAGGCTGTCAGTAAACGTGAAAATCCGTGTGTCATGTCTTTCGTGTAGTCAGAGAAATGGGTATTCAAACGATGAGTTTTCCCTAGGAATAGATGAGGCTTTAAAAAAAGTGATACTTAGGCTTTGGTGGGAATGCAGGGAAAACCTGGCTTGTGATGCATTGGTTCAGCCACGACGCAGTGCCAAGGAAAGGCCAGCGTGTGCTGAGGAGGAATCGGTGCCGCTGTGTGTGGAATTTAAATGTATGTGGGATTAAATTACCTCGGCCGCAGTCTAAGAGTTGGGGCAGGGGAGGGGTGACAGTAAATTGTGATGAGGTCCTGACAGAAAGAGGCAACAGCCCTTAACTTAGGGTAGACTGTAGTAGGTCAGGAAGGCTTGTTGGAGTGTCTGGGGCAGCCGCTAAAAGATGATGCAAAAAGTGTCACAAGCAAGTAGCAGAGGCAACGGGATAGTAACAGACGGGGGTGATCGTAACGTAGTCGGGAGAGGGGCGAAGGTCATGGGGCACAGGCAGCCACAGAGGGTGGGAGATTGGACCAGAACCTGCATTACCTGTCGATGACCCGGAGAGAGACACTCAGGACAGCATGGCCTCACTCACATCGTCAGTAGCTTCTGTGACTCCAGTGAGACAGCGTGTGAGGAAACCGGTTTTACCACAGGCTTGTCGAGATGGAGAAGAGCCAGCTTCCTGCGGCATCTCGGATGCAACGCAGAGGCGTCGCGTGGAACCTACTGTGTACGTGACTTCCAAGAGGCAGGCCTTAGGTGTTGGCACAGGAAGGTTGAAAAGGTGGAGGAACTACCCCAAGCAAACATTAACCCCAGTAATGCTGATGGCACAGCAGGAAGAGGACAAGAAGCGCACTTGGTAACAGTGACAGGGCCGGCCCGTGTGTACCAAGCCTGGGAGCTACCACGTGGACCAGGCGAACCTCACAGCACCGAGAGGACAGAGACGGGTCAGACGGGGACTTGGCAACGTGGGTCTCTTGTAGCTGATAGATTTAGTGGGATACATGAGATCAAACAACGGAGTTAACAAAAACCACCCAACATACATTGAAATTACACCTATAGCTGCACCATCCGTAGTCTTTTGAACAGTACAGAGAACAGTTCTCAAGAAGATTGTATGCTCTGGACACAGGATTGAAAAGATACAGGGGATGTTTTCTGACCACAGTGGAGTTAAGCTGGAAATCAGTAATTAAAAGGTAATAGAAAGTACCCAGAAGCCTGAAAGTTAGGTAGTAGACTTTTAAAAACCATGGGCAAAGAAGTCAAGTGGGAATTAGAAACTGTTTTCAACAGTGATTGTGGAAACCAGCACTTTAAAACATGTGGGATGCAGCAGGAGCTCCTCCGAAACACTGGAGAGGAGACGGCTACACACCCGTGGCCCACACGTCTTCTCGAGGCCAGAGGGAGAGCAGTGAGAAACGAGAAGGGACGAGATAACAGAAGATAAGGGCAGAAACCTACAAAACTGAAAGCAGTTGAGTTCAACAAAGCCAAAGGAATTATTTGAAAACGTAAGATTTATAGCTCTAGGAATCCTGACCAAAGGGAAAAAGGAAGCCAGACACAGGCTCAGCAGCAAGAATGAAAAGGCTGTGACCACAGACCTGCAGACACTGGGCAGTGAAAGGTGCTGTGAGCAGCTTGTCCACGACAGTGCAGGAGGGACGTGGTGGGTGCGAGGTGTGGAGAGGGTGGGCTGGAGGCGTAAGTTGGGAGGGTGGCATGCTGCCCAGAGAGTAAGTTACGGGAAGGTGGCGGTGTTAGTGACCCCGAGTTGAGTGGGAAGGACACCTGTGATGGAGCACCAGCCGTGGGGATCAGAGCCCATGCTGCAGTGGGGGACAGTGAACCTCGGCACGCCAGCGTCGGGGCGCCTGGGAGACGAGACCAGTTCAGATGCCTGACAGAGTCTGTGGTCAGAGGAAAATCAAGTGTGTGGGATTCGGGAGACTTGGGGGGAGGGGGCGGCGATGGGTTGGTCGATGCTGCACGGTCAGGTCCTGTGGATACAGGTCAGCGCCTCAAGGACAGTGGGCGGCACGCACTGGACACATTCTCAGGCCACAGCGCAGGTGACATCATAGAAAGGTGATGCTGGTCCCAGCATGGGAGGCCATGATGGGATTGAATTGCTCCTCGAGGAAGTTCTGGGAACCTGTATCCTGGCTTTGTGTTGACTCGGGAGCGCTTTCGGAGCCATTGGAAATGTGTCTGTGCCCCATAGGTTCCTTGCTCTCTCCTGCTTGCCCCCCGTGCTTCACACGTTTAACTCTGGTTTCCAATTTACCTGAAGGACGCGCAGCACGAAGCTGCTCCGGCTTATTGATCTCGACTTTTCATTCACATTCTCACTCCTGGACCTGCCACCAGTAAACGAGTATGACACGTACATCAGAGACTTCGGGAGAAGGAACACCAAGCAGGTTAGTACAGGGGCCTTGACGAGGGACAGTGCGAGTAAAGCACAAGGCAGGTTTGTGCGCAGCATGTCTTGTTCTGGACTGTGAGGGCTTGGGACATGGAAAGGAGGTGGAGTGAGGAGCAGGGCACTCGTCACATGGCCGCCGTGGACCTGGATGTGCGGGTGTCCACAGAGCCCCGTGCAACAGGCTGCTCCCACACCTGAGTGCAGCTGTGGGGGGAGCAGAATGTCACTTGGATGCCTTGTGGGGCTCCCACAAGGGTGTGGCATCAACAGTGCTGAGCACCCAGTGAGTCCCGAGCTCCCCCTGCTGTGATTCCCTCTCACCAGTCATGTCTGTTCCGTTGCACCTCCCCATGTGCCCAGCCTCCACCTGTGTCACCGCCTGGCCGCCTGTCACCTGCCTGTGTATTCTCTGTCCTCGTGCCAGGCCCTCCATCACGTGGATATTCCTCAATGTCCAGGACCTGTCCTCGAGGCGAATCCTTCACTAGTGACTTACACTGGATCCTCCTATCCCAAAGTCGCCACCGCCCATCCCACGCAGCTCTAGGCTCCCGAGTGCTTCTAGTCATTGATTTTGTGATAGTTCAACTTCCTGAAGTTTGAAGCCAGGATCGTCGCTTGTGTTTTTCTCATGTCCCTTTAGTATTTTCGGGCGACGTGCTCTTGGGTCCCTCAGTCAGTGACAGTCTTTCAGTAGGAGGGATGCCACAGCATAGGCCTCAGGAAGCTGCCGACAAGCCTGCTGGCTCTCTAACCTTGGGTAGACTGTCTACCTTCTCTGCTGGTTTCCTCACCGCAGACCTGTTAGTAAGAAAACCGTCTGCTGAAGCACCACCTTTTTGAAATAAGATCGCTTTTGATTTTGCAAAGTCAATATGTTCTTAAAAAAGATGTTGCCCTGGCCAGTTTGGCTCAGTGGTTAGAATGGCAGCCTGCTGACTGAAGTGTCCCGGGTTCGATTCTGGCCAAGGGCACGTACCTCGGCTGCAGGCTTGATCCCAGCCCCAATTGGGGTCCGCGGGGGAGGCAGCCCATCGATGTGTGTCTCGCATCAGTGCCTTTCCCTCCCTCTCTCTCTCTCTCTCTCTCTCTCCCCCTTCCACTGTCTCTGAGAAGTGTTGAAAAAAAGTCCTCGGTAAGGATTAAAAAAAGGTGTCAGTGGGCTACTTGGCAGTTTTTAAATCAAAGCTGAATTGTTTCATGTGACTTTTTAAAAACACTTTAGAAAATCAGACCTATTATGTATCATGTATGTTTAAGACCCAAACAGTCTTTGCATGATGGTGGTTTGTTATGATACTTATTTTTTTGACAAAAGCAAGAAGACTGTCATTAATAACTTTAAAAGCTTACAGTTTCTTTTCAGTAATGAGGCATTCCTCTGAGGCTGAGACCCAGTGCTGAGTCCAGCCCCTTTGTGTTTAAGGCTTATGTCCAGTGTAATGACGACAACGTCGACCGAGACGCGCAGACAGAGGAGACAGAGACCAGGGATGTGTGGACCCAGCACCCCGGGGAGGGCTCGGCCGTGTCAGGGGGTGAGCAGCTTGCAACCTGACCACTGGGAGCTGGTTTCTGCACATTATTGTTGGTGTTGATCGCATTTCTTGTTCCTCTTGTCTTTCTCTTGGGGGTGGTGCTTGGGACCTCACCGTGGAAATGCCAGGCGCTCTTGGTAGGAGCAAACCAGCCTGTGCACTGCTGGCCCGAGCGATGAGCTGGGAGCCGGTCAGCAGGGGAGAGGCCACGTTCCAGACACGCTTCTTCAGAGTGGGCTCCAGGACACACTGCTTTTAACTCGGGAATAGCCTGTACTCATCAACAGAGACTTACATATGTGAAGTACAGTTACCAGACACTTCACATCCGTATAGACGGCAGGTCCCAGAATAGTGCTTTGCGCACGCATGGTTTTCTGTTATTTATGTGCTAGATGTCACCTTCCCCGTGGGGCCTGTTCTGAGGGATTTTCTGTGTTACTCTCTTCCCACAGGGAAGCCTCTCCCTCAGAAATCATCCACGGAAATGAAACGTGGCACTTACATCATAATCGATGCCTTTAAATGCAGGGCGGGCAGAGGCAGGTCTTGTATTAGTGTTGATTAATTACCGTATCGTTTGTGTCACAACTGTAAGCCTACTCTTTGCCTACCCCTGTATTTTCCTTAAGGACTTTAAGTAGGCTCCTGTTCACAGATTTTGATTTTTTAAATTAAATTTATTGGGGTGACAGGTCCACGAGATTGTATACATTTCAGGTGTGCAGTGTTATGTTCACCACTCCATCTCTCCTCCCGTCAGGGTGCAGCTTTTGAAGCAATGACTAGTAGATCCAGAGATAAATGTGGTTTTCCGAGCTCTCCTCTGGGTTCCTGGTGTTCATCGTGACACCTCTGAACTCGAACGTGTGACGTGTAGCTGTTTAGAGCCCACTTGGGTGGTTTTCTCTGACTTTTTCAGGGGGTGAGAGCGGAGACTCCTGTGATGCAGCAGTGGTGCCAAAGGTCAACACGCTGAGGCTGTCCAGGTTCCTCCGGGAGGCCTGCCAGGTAGGCACTGGGATGGGGCTGCCACTATGTCCCCACCGGTGCCAGCTGTGTGTCATGCAGTTCATGTGTTTGAAACCAATGAACTTAGGACTTTTAAACTGCTTGTGGAGATCTGAAACTGCTCCACAGCTGTCAGGTCACAGCCCCTGTGTCACCTGAGCCCCTGGGCCCCACCCCTTGGTCACTGTGGAACAAGTGGTGGTCACCGTATGCCCCCCGAGTTCTCTGTGTGAATCTTGGGAAGAAGGTCCACACTCGGGGAGTCGGTGTTCTGACTCACAGTGCTCGTGTGTACGCAGCTCAGGATTCGGTGTGGAGCGGCTGACGTGTGGGTCCGTCTGGCCAGCCGCTGTGCTCCTCTCCTGCCCTGTTAGGTCTTGTTTCCACACACTTGCATGAATGACCTCCTCTGTAAATCCTGGGGGTTGAAGGCGGAGCTGGCAGGTGCAGGGGAGCGGCAGGCAGCTGGCCAGGGAGGAGGGTGGTGAGGACAGAGGACTTGACCCTCACCCGGTCCGTCAGGGCTGCGGGACACTGCCCTAGTCTGCAGTGCCCTGCTCACCCACCCTCCTGAGCGGGACCCTGTTGGAGCAGCAACTGTGGCTCTGCGCCTCCTGGGTCCTCAGCACAGTGAGAACTGGGGGCCTGTGCTCGATCTTTCTTTACACCCTGTGTTTCGTTAAGAAGCTCTGGGCAGTCAGCTGATCTCCTCATCCTGTTATCTTGGCAGAGTCTTTACCATAAAAAATGACGTGTCCCCGTAACCCCAGCTCCCCCCGAGGAGCCTGCTTAGTGGAAGGTCACCGTCAGCGCCTCCTGCTGTGCAGGCTGGACAGCGTGGTCTCCTTCTGTCAGCTCCTGTGGTACCTTGCGGCTAAGCAGTTGTTTTAAGACGAGGGTGAAATGAGTGGGTAACGACTGTGTCTGTAGCTGACTATGGGCTGCTCATTGTTTTTGAAAGGTGGTTGCGGTTTTGCTGGAAGAGGACCGTGTGGCAGCAGCATCCAGTTGGGACCCCGGGGCGCAGGGCAGCACCCTGCCCCTCAGCAACAGCTCCTCCCAGCTGAACACCAGCCTGCCCTTCCTGCAGTGTAAGAACCGTCCTGTGTGTGCTTGACTGTGATGCCACGTGGGGCGTTGAGCTGCTGGTTCTGCCCTCTGTGATGTGCGGTGCAGCCTGCAAGGAGCTCTCTGACCCTGGCTTGGTGCCCCAGTGCGTGTGAGGAGGGCAGGCTCCTGAGACCATTGGGAGGGGGCTGCTGTGACACAGGCAGAGGGCCTGTGTTAGTCCTGAGAAACAGCGGGAGCAGTGCAGGGCGGGCATTGAGAGACGGCGGCTGTGGTCTGCGCTCAGGTCTGAGCAGCAGCTCAGCACTGCACATGGGGCTGCTCGTTTAGCCCCAGAGTAGCCTGTGGTCTCAGAACATGAAATGCCCTGCGATCAGACATGAGGTGTGGTCCTACGGGATTGATTGTTCAGACCAGTTTAAACAAACTGCATGTGTGGGGCCCTGTCCAGCTCTTAGGCTGGTCCCTGCTCTGCTTTAAAAACAGTGGCCCAAGGTCCTGATGGTGGAGGAGGAGACGTCCTGAGCTCATCCTGGAGCTTTTTCTGTCCTGTGCTGGACATTTGATGTGAACAAAAATGGCAGTTTAAAAAAAAGCTCACCGTTTTGGGGAGTGTTTATTTTTAAAAGATAAGAGTTAAGAAAATAGTAAATCACTGTATCTATAGGATTCAAAACACAGGTGTGCATGTGCCACACCCGCCTCTTCTCCCAGGGCTGCCCAGTGACAGTGCCTGACAGGCCTGGAGGCGCTTGTACAGGTGACACAGGCATCACAAGGGTCCCTCGTGAGGGGAACGTGTGTGTGTTGGTCGGGGTCCTCACAGGGCTGGCCCTCTGCAGGGCATGTGAGATTCGCACATGAACAGAGGGGAGGTTTTCTTGTTTTTTTGCATTTGTGTTTTGGTAAAATGAATTCTGAGCTGACAGGAGGAAGTGAGATTGGATGGCAGGTGTCTGACGGAGCTGTTCATCTCAACTGTGGACCAAGGCCTCTGAAGGAGATGCTTTAGCCGTCACAGAAAGCTCACCCGCGGCCGTGACAGCCAGTGCGCCTGCTTCTCTCCTTTCGTTTGCTCCTGCATTTGAGAAATTGCCCATGTCCAGTGTCCCAGGCACTGTTGAGATTCAGCAGTGGACAGGCAGAAGTCCTTGTGGGTCAGACAGACTGTGAACTTGCTAAACAAGTGAAGGGGGCAGTAGATCCAACCGGGAAAGTTTTCAGGAGAGAAACAAAGTGAGGCAGGTCCCGATGGAGAAGTTTCGCAGTGTGAAAGCCTTGGGGACCTGACGGGCCTGCTGAGCGGCTCTAGGCTGCATTGTACCAAGTTTGAAGGACCACTTTTCAGCAAAACCATGAGGCAGTGTGGACAGTTGTCAACGCAGACTTTGAGGCATGTGGAGCTTGGAAAGGACCACGTCTGTTTCTTCGTTAAGCCGAAACTTACTTGCATGTTTCTAAGTGTGTTGCTTTAACACGTGTTCTGGCAGGTCTGTAAGATACCAAAACGTTTTACTCTATCCCCAGATCGGAAAGTGTGCTGCTTGCATGCCTCGAAGGCTCAGCGGCAGACGGTGGTGTCTGTCCACAGCCGGCCTGCAAAGGCCTTTGCCCCTTCACTGGACAGGAGGTGCGTGCTCTGCGTGTGGGACATCTGGCAGCCCTCAGGGCCTCAGAAGGTGCTGGTCTGTGAGTCACAGGTACAGCTCTGGAGAGTCATGGGGTTGGGAGGAAGGGCCGGAGGGTGGGGCATGGTGCTGGGCACAGGGAATGCGGGAGGACAGGGACCTATAAGGTCCTTTCTCTCTCTTCCTGGTCTCCCTCAGCCCTATCTGCAGTTGTGATAGAACACACGAGCGTGTCTGTCTTGACTCTAGAAATTGCTTGTTCAGAGGACTAACTCACTGTGAACCTGGTTAGTTCCCTTAGGTCCCCTGGGAACTGGGTCAGTTTGGCTCTAGCCAAGTGAAGACACTGGACCCCCGGGCTTGGCACTGAGTACAGAAGGGGACTTTTTGCTGGAGTTGTGTGGGTCCTGGACGTGGCAGAGGTTTCTTAATTGCTTGAGATTTCAGCCTGTGGTCTCATGTGCTTCCTGGTCTCTGGTCCATAGGCCATGGTCTGGTGACCACACAGGCCACTCTGTTTTTATGATTCTTGACCTCAGAACTGTTGATTTCCATCAACACTGTAGAGAAAGAGCAGTAGCTGTTACTGTGTCAGTTTGGGGGCCTTGAAAATAACTTATAGCGACCCAGGTGGTAAACAGAGAGAGACAGGATGGCTTTGCTGATGAGGTGAATGGGTGTCGTGGTGCACACCATGTGCCCTGCACCACACTACACATGGCTATCACCCCGCTTTCCACTTGAGAAAGTGACACTCGTACACGACTTGCTTAACATGTCCCACAGCTTCCAGCGGGAGACTCACGGGGACACATGGGCACAGAGAGCTTCCTGCATGTCTCCCTAGGTCACGTGTTGCTGCTTGAGCCCCTTTAAGGCCTTCCTGCTCTTCGCCGGAACTGTGCACGGCTCGGTCGTTGTGTGGGACCTAAGAGAAGACTCTCGGATACATCGTTATGTGAGGCTGAGCGACTGCCTTTGGACGTTCAGGACAGCAACATTTTCCACAGGTCAGTGAGACCCGCCTGCCCTGCGGGTGTCTCTGGACAAGCATGACAGATTCGAGGGACGTCTGAAATTTCTCGGCATTTATTCAGGTTACCTCAGAGGATGGGATCAGAGCTATGGGCAAAAAAGGCTTCTGACAAAATCAAAATTGCGTCCAGGTTACAGTTAGCCTGTGGCCAGCAGATGGCAGTGTGGATCCCAAATCCTCAGTGAAGTGAGGGCTCCCGGCTTAGTTAACTCCACCCAGGGGCCCGAGAGGAACCAGAACAGCTGGACCTGCTAGGATCCTTGGTTAGACCCCAGGAGTACTTCACGCCAGGCAGCTGCAACCCCAACCAAGCAATCACAGCCTCAACCAACCAGTCACACCAGCACCCACACTCCCCACCACTTGGTAGGGGCTCGTGTTCTGGGGCTCTCAGTGCTTCCTGGACACCATTAGCTTGATGCCTGTCTTGCCCTCCACGCCAGCTGCTCAGGGACATGAGGGGCTTGTGCAGTCACAGTGACCTCACCCAGTCGTCTTCACTGTCTTTCTCTGTCCCACCCGGGAGCCCTCACCACACCCACACTTGGCTTTTGCATCTTCCCTTTCCCAGCGTTGCTGGTCGGTTTTCTGTCTCTGTTTTACTTTTTCCAGACGTCAGGTACGTGGAGTCACAGGAACACAGGCCTTCAAGTCTGTCTGGCTTCTTCCTCGTGTGGCACTTGTGGGTCACCTGCGCACTCGCACATTCGCAGTTCAGTCCCCTCTGCGGAACTGTCTTTCCACTCCTGGAATGCCAGGTGGCTTGTCCGGCCGATCCCAGTTGCTGGACTGTGAGCCCCCGTCAGTATGCTTGCTCCACATTGCGTTACCCTATAGGCACTCGGGGGTCTGCACCCTGGGTGGCACGTGGCCCGTCAGCATTTTAGCTGCTCTGACAGGTGTGGGGTGCCTCGCACTGTGGCTCTCGTTGTGGTTCTCTGGTGACCCGGGGTGAGGGCACCTCGTGCTTATCTGCCTTTCGAGTGTCTTCAGTGACGTGTCTCTTCAGGCCTTTTACACATCTTTAAATGGATCCTTTGCGTTCTTATTGTTGAGTTTTAAGGGTTCTCATGTATTTTGGGTGCCAGTCCTTCATCAGATGTGTCTTTACGAGTATTTTCTCCCAGTCCATGCTTGTCTTCTCAGTCTCTCAAACTTCCTGTTCCTGATCAGCTCTCCATGAAATTTCAATAAACATACGTGGCGTGTCTCACTGTCTGTGCATCTGTATTTCATGCCTAAAAAGAGCACGTGTTTTCTTGTTTCCCAAGCAGCCAGTTTTTGCGCTTTGGGGTGACATTGCTGCGACTGAGAATGTGTGAGTCTGGGAACCTCATGGATTCGGTGCTGTTGGAAAAGATTCCTTTTACCTTTTACAAATGTGCCACCCATGTTGCTGATGAACCTTTTGAGTTCCCGTCGTGTCCTGTTCCTGAAACCTGCGAAGGTTCATAGGCTTCTGGGAGTGAGGGACCCACAGGTCTCGGGCACAAGCCGGAGTCACCTGCTGGTGCTGCCTCCCTCCATCCCACCCGTCGACTCCACGCCATGACTTGGGCTTCGTTTCTTTCCTGCGTTCAACCCCACTTCCCATCTTCTTGCTGTTTTTTATTTTTGTTCCGAGTTGCTGATTCCAGGCATCTCTGTGAGTGTTTGCTATACCTACGCTTCCCAGTGCTTTCGAGGGGGTGGGATGCGGGGTGGAGGGTGGGGCTTTGGTTTTCTGTTTCATGCCCCTTTTAGGGGAGAATTTCCATCAGCTGTATTTCTGGAGGAACTCTTGTGGACTTTGGTTGTTTCTCCTGGACATTTTGTAGATGAGGGTTATAGGTCAGCGGAGCTATGTTGTCTGGTTTGTGGGTGTCGGTGTCTGACAGGGGTGTGGCACCAGTCTGCCCTGACTCCGCATCAGCTGCCTCTGCGACCCACTCCCCCCAGAAGCAGCTGCTCCAGGTTGTCTTTCTGTCCTGTGTCTCTTTCCAGCCCTGTCTGTCGTGTGGCTGCTGAGGGGCCCTCCAGGGTCTTGTCCTGGGAGCTAGGTTGTGTCTCTGGTTTCATTCTTTGTGACCCCTCCTGCCAGGGAGTCTCAGCATCCTCACGCCTTCCCACCCGTAGACAGGATGTCCTCCACTCCCTCTTCACAGATGGTTTGGGGTCCATGGTCTTTGCTTCATGGTAATGCTGAGCGCGATGGTCACCTGTAACTGAAGCTGTGTCCACATGGGGGGACACATGCCCCAGGAGCACCGTGTTCATCCCTGTGTGACAGCAATCGTATCCCTGTGACTTACTGCGCACCCTGTGACTGTGTGCCTTCCCCAGATGGCGTCCTCACCTCTGTGAACCACTGCAGTCCTGTGCAAGCCATAGAACCCGTCTCCGCGTCCGGCTGCAAGAAGCAGAGTTTTGCTCTCTCGCCCTTTTCCACTCAGGACGGTGCGTGGCCCCTCACTGCCAAAAACCTTGCTTAGGCTGCGGCCCATCGTTCCTGGCTGACCAGCCATTTCCCCTCCCCTTCTGTTTGTTAGAAATGTCGGGTTTGTCCTTCCGCATTGCTTCCTTGGATGAGAGTGGGGTCCTCAACATGTGGGTGAGTAGGACACACGGGCAAGTGCCCTGTGTCTGCGGCTCTGGGAGCAGAGATGGTGCTGGTGGGGCATGTAAGGGAATGTGGGGCACATNCTGTGTCTGCGGCTCTGGGAGCAGAGATGGTGCTGGTGGGGCATGTAAGGGAACGTGGGGCACATGGGGTCCGAGGAGCTGCAGGTTCCTGTGGGGACAGGGATGGAAGTGGACTGGGACCGGGCCGGACAGGGGCGAGAAGACACACAGATGCTCCAAGGTGCTGGCCACGGACCAGTCCCCAGGGACAGGACGGGAGGAGGGGTTTACAGCACCTGAAGTGTTGGTTCTGAAGGTGGAGGCTGTCCTTCTCCTGGAGCAGCGACGTGCTTAGCACCTTCAGCTTGCTGCCTGATTAGGCCTGTGCTTTGCTTAGATGGTTTCATAACTATAAAGTGTGTTAACCTTCATTTCAATATTCTGTTTTAGGTGGTTGTTGAATTACCAAAGGCAGATGTTGCAGGTTCAATAAGTGATTTAGGTAACTATTAAGTGAAAAACGAATTTCAGGCAATGTTTGCTGAAATGAACAGATTGAAGATGCCATTAACCACTGTAAAAATAAGTAGTTAGCTACTGAAAATGAACATTAAGATCATGTATTTATAACCTTCCCGGCCACTGAGTGGGTACCTCAGCTACCACGATCAGTGATGTTCTGGCTGTGTGTTTCCAGCGAGGGTTAGTAAATTCCGTTTATGTCTGTATGTCACTTGGCTCCCTAAGTTGTACGCCAGGCACGGACGTCTGGGTGATTCCCAGCTCTGTGGTGTGCATTAGATTAGGGGACGGTCAGAGAGAGAACTCGCACCGTGGTTGGAACTAATGACTTGCTGACAGGTGTCAGCTCTGAGTAGCCTGGTCCCGTCCCAGAGGCTAGGAAATGAGGGTGAGTGGACAGGGAGTAGTGCGGTCCTAGGGGACAGGTCATAGCAAGGTTGGAAGGGGTACTTATCAAGGGCATGGGCTCAGATCAGGGGCGGCTTCCCAGGAAGGTGACACCTGGGCTTCCAGGTGAGTGGCTGGGAAAGTGGAGAGTTGCTTTCCACCTGTGACAGCAACATTGACACGCTCTGATTATATAGTCCCCTGTCCAGTGCAGGTTGAATTTAATATTATGTACTTTTTCAGGCTGTGCCTTACCCAGAATTTGGGTTTCAAGATGCATAAATGTCTGGTTCCCCTTTTGCAGTAATTACAAAACAGGAGAATGCAATTGGGAACAGACAGGAAGCAAAGCCAGTGAGTGGCCCAGGGGTCAGAGTTGTCATAAGGGAAGTTGCGGTGTCTCCACATGGTCGGGAGAAGGGCAGACTCTGAGGGTGGGTGCACCCGGTGTCCCACAGCCCCACAGGTGCACATTCACGCCCTGTGCTTCTCTGAGGAACTCGAGGAATCTAAATACTGATCTGATCTTATTTTTTTGCCTAGTGTGCTGCCCTTGTTTTATTTCATCAAATCTAAAAAGTAAGGGCTTCTTGACCTTGATTCCACCAGTCTTTTTCCCAGAGGCTCCAAACTGCAGGTTCTTTCTTCCCACACTGAGCGCTGAGGGGTTTTCAGGAACCGCACGTGCACCGGGGGCCTCTGCCTTCTGGTTTGTTCCCTAACACATGTTGGAGCATCGAGACGGGACCCCAGGTGACTGTAACTGGACCTGGGCATGCCTGTGCTCAGAGGTGCACTTACTGCCCCCTCCCTGCCTTTAGGGTTAATACCTGGAGGGAAGATGAAGTTGGTGCACAGCTCTGTGGTTCGGCTGAGTGGCAGGTAAGCCCCAGAGTGGACCCCTCGGGCCACAGAGGCCTGTGTCCCAGACATGAGGTGGCACAGGTGGTGGCTGAGGAGTTGGTAATTAGCGAGTCTGAGTAAAAGTGCATCGCAGTGGCGAGCCGACCGCTTTTCCATGATTAAAGCGCTGTCTGTCCTATAACTGGCACTGCCTGACTCGTTTTCATTCGGTGTCGATAACGGCCACAAAGGCAACCCTAACCAGGAGCATTGACGTGGAAGTTAATATGGCACGAAAGCTCTTATTAAACACAGATGTCGTTCGTGGTGTTTATGGTCCATGAGAGGTGCTGGCGATGGCTGAATCCTTCCCATCGACAGGCTCCTGTGGCTGGGATAATGCATAGACCTTGAGACTAAACCACCTGCAGCCAACTTAAATGTGATCGACGGGGTCTGTTAGGGTTAAGAAAACCACCTCATACGTTAGGAGCCAACCACAGGTGACCCTGGGCTAGTGGGGACACTGGGCTCCTGTGAGGATGCAGATAGGTAGTCACAGTGACTGAGGTGGGTATCCTGTGTGTCAGAAGAGTGGAGCTCAGTGGGAGGAGTCTTCACTGTCCCTTGGGACCCGGGCCTACAGTGGGGGAGAGGCACAGACGTGGCTGTGAGGAGGTAACTCACACAGGACTCAGCCACCTGGCCCCAGGAGCTCTCCTGGAACAGCTTTCCAGGGTGTCCTTCCAGCCCTGTGCCCCCTCCTGTCACTGAACTCAGGAGCCCAAGGGGGGAGTAGCCCAGAGGGTGGCATGCCCTCGTCCACTGTGGGCATGGTACACATGTGAGTCACTCTGTTGGGACACGCATGTGGCCTGTGGGAGCTCAGGGGCGACAGGTGGGGCATGGAGTGAATGGTGGCTTCTTGGAGAGGTGACACTTGAGATGGGAGGGAAACCAGGGGTGTGCTCTGGCCACAGGAGCAGATGCACGACACAGGGCAGTGCCAGGAGGCTTGCCCTCGAGAGAGAAGGGCCTGATTCAGTGGCCAGACCCTGGGCGTGTTTACTGTGCTGAGGTTTGACGGTTGTCTTGCTGGCGATGGGAGCCACCTTGGACTTGGAGTGGAAGGTTAGAGCAGGGCGGGGGCTGGAGTCAGAGACATGAGGCTGCTGTAGGGTGGGTGAGAAAGGCCAGGGTCTGGGCCAGGGTGGCCACATGGGCAGAATCGACCAAGTGCCCTTTCAGCTAAAGGACAAAATTGACCGAGTGCTTCTAGGTGAGGGGTGGACCCGCTCTCGCCAGGTGTCCAGCTCGGTTTCTAGGTCCCACCCTCAGATGAGGGCCAGGAGGGAAGGGGGGCCAGGATCTGGGCAGCCTGGGGGGCTCAGCTGCCTCCTGGAGGTGACAGGAGGCTGTCCTCAGTGGATGAGTAGCATTTGCAGTTCTGAGTGACAGTGAGGGGAGCATGGCCAGATTCCTGGTTCTGACTCGGGCAGAGTGGCCTCTGCTGTCACAGATACACTGGATGAGGTAGAAACGGCCAACGGGATCTTTACATGAGGAGAGTCTATAAGAGCCAGGTCGAGGATGGAGGTGGGGCCTGCAGGAAGCCGTATGTGTGGAGGCTGGTTCTCAGCCCCACTGCTGTGGGCTCCACATTGGGCAGACCTGTGGTGGCGCTCCGGGCTTGCCCAACCAAGGCCGGAAGCTGGAAGTGAGACCCTGCATAGGACTCGGGGATCCCTGTCCCTTCACTGAGAGAGACCCAGAAAGTCCCACCCCCAGCGCACAATCCGAAAGCTGAGACGTTAACATCACAGCCCCAGACCAGTGCAGTGAACAGAGAGATCAGAGACCGCTGCACAGCATGTGATATTCGCGTGCTGAGAACGTGGGATAATCGTACAATCTGAAGGACAGCTCTAGAAGAGAAATGTGTCTGAAATTTAAAGTTAGCACGTGGTTAAGTAGTGTATTAGATGTAGCTGAAGAAATTATCTAAAGCACAGAAACAGAAATGGGAAACCGGTGGTTAAGAATCACAGGAAATGTGAGGGTCCCTGCCTGATGGTGTATGACAGGTGATAACTGGTTACCCCAGTTCCCAAGCCCTCCATCTGTTCACCTCTGCTGTTTTTTCCAGCCTCTCCCATAAAGGTGATGAACTTTGGGGAGCCACACAAACACTGAACGTTAAGTTTCTGCCTTCAGATCCCAATCACTTTATTGTCGGCACCAACATGGTGAGGAACATTCTGAACTCCGGTTCATTCTCTGCCACCTGCTTGATAAGTAGCGTCGTCAAAGACGAATGTGCTGTTTGCTTTTACAGTGTGGCTTTAATTGCTTCCAGAATAGTAGCTTTAGCCAACCTCGTGCATAATCCTTTGCCTTAATCACTATGTCTTTTTATTACCAGGGACTTGTAAGCCACGGCACCAGACAGGATTTGAGAGTATTCCCCAAATTCTTCAAGCCCCAGCAGCAAGGCGTGAGGCCTGTGATGGTGAATGTGGTTGACTTTTCCCCCTTTGGAGAACCTGTGTTCCTGGTAAGAAAGTCTTTTCAAAGTGCCAGCTCGGTTTGCTCAGCAATACACTTGTAGGGATGGATTGGGGTTTTAACAGTGACCACTTACTGTGCCTCAGTTCCAGTGGGCTGGTGTGGGGTGTCTGCTCGTCTCCCCGAGTGGTTTCCTGAAGGCCCCGTCTGTGCAGGTCATTCTGTGGCTATTGTAGGTCTTCTTAAAATTTATTTTGACCTAATTTTAGTCATATAAAGAAGTTACAGGAACAGCAGACAGGGCCCCTGCCTGCCCATGTAGGTGCCCCACACGTCACACACTTGCCACCACGGCTCGTCCTCTCCCTGCCGCCTGCTCAGAAGTTGCAGGTGTGACTCCCATCCCTGAGTAGTAGAGGGATGGTTTCTCCTGTAGCCACAGAGCTGCTGTGGGCAGGTGCAGGTGCAGCCCATCACCTGACCTGTAGATGTGACTGAAATGTCACCGTTGTTCCAGTAATGTCCTTTATCGGCAAAATTACCTCCCAGGTCATGCATCTCGTCAGTCATTGCGTCTCTTCAGTCTCAGACAGTTCCCCAGTCTCTCATGACCTTGGCATCTTTGAAGGGCATAGAGTTCTCCTCAATTTGAGTTTGTATGATGTTTCCTCACGGTTATTCAGGTTTTGCATCACACATCTGATGGCTCCCTGGATGAGGCAGAAACCAGCACAGGGCTCACTATCTTCCCTTTCTCATTAACAAGCATCCCGTGGGGAGGCAGGTGGGCACTGCAAGGGCCCTGTCACTCATCACATCCTCAGCTGCACCCTCATGTCCTCCCCTGCATCCACTGTGATATTCGCCACATCTGTTGTCAGGGTGATTGCAGATGGTGGCTTTGCATCCCATTGTTAATTCCGCATTTACTAGTTGGCTGGCTGTCCTCTCTCCTATGTAGGTATGCATGTAGGTTTGTAAGGTGTGTATGTGGGCTTGTTTGTAGGTGTGCATGGAGGCATGCATGTACTGTGTAAGTGTGGGCATGTGGCTCCTTAATCCCTCAGTGGCTTACAGCCATTTGCTGCTTCTGTTCTGCTCAGGTTGTCCCAGGGGTGTCCTAGGACTGGTTGTTATGTTCTTCTGACACCATTCCATGAGCCTTCTTTGCTTTTTGGTGTAATAACCCTGGAATCGGCTATTTCTCCAAGGAGTCCTGGCTCCTGTTGGGGAAAAATACATGGAAACCAAGCTCCAGGCAGTAGGAAGGGCCCTCTGTGAGGACACAGCTCAACCAGGCTCAAACAGGCTGGCGCTCGGCCACGTCTAGGTCAGGCCCTGCAGGGAAGCCTGGCTCCCGTCGCCTATGATGTGTGCTCATTACTCAGCCCTCGAGACACAGAGCCCTTAGTGGTTGCTGGCTCGTGCCTCTGCTTTGTTTGGGTTTGTGATGGACTAAATATAGAAAGTAAAAAAGGAGTTAAAAGTGTCTCTGTTTAGCTAAAAACTTGGTCCTTTACTAAACCATCTAAGTTTTGTTTTATGGAAATTTCAACCCAAGGGGATATATTGGTGCAAATGTGTATTTTTTAAAAGGTGGCTTATTTATTTTCATGGAGCCAATCTTAATGCCCCATGCTTGAACCAGGGAGATTCAACTTTGCTAAAGATAAACACCTATTTAGACATTCGCTGAATTCGTTGACTATTAGCCATTTTGGGAAGGGGAAGGTGTGCGAAGCGTCCCAGAACCTCCAAGGTGAATGCTCATCTTTGTCGTTTGTCAGGGCAGATTTAATGTTAGAAGTTTATGTTTTGAAAACAAAAAATGTATCAAATTTTTTTGCTGTACAAACTAAAGAAAGCTAATGCTCTGAAAACTTGCCCTGGCTGCTGAGGTGGGGTAAGAAAGAAAACGGAGCTATGACCTGTGGTTGCCCCACCCCCAGGCCGGCTGTGGCGATGGGAGCATCAGGCTTCACCAGCTGATGTCTGAGCAGCCTCTCGCGCAGTGGGGCCACAGCACCGGGGGCCACGCCGTCACCGGCCTGCAGTGGTCCCCCACCCGGCCTGCTGTGTTCTTCGTCCAGGACACCACTTCCTGCATTTATATCTGGGACCTGCTGCAAAGTGATCTGGGTCCTGTAGCCAAGCAGCTCATCTCTCCAGACAGGCAAGTCTGATGAAGCCCCTGTGGGCCTAGGATGACCCGGGATGACCTGTCACAGGTCGTTCCTGCAGAAGTGTCCTTGGGGGGCTTTTACTTCATGCACAGGTTTGTGACTTTAAAATGTGGTTATTTTACTTAATGAATATTTTTGTATTTATAAATTTAAGTCATATTTTAAAAACCACTTTAAGGTGTATTGATTTTAGTTTAGTGCAGAGTAGCCTGTGGACCAGAGAACTCACACGGTGCTGGTTCCCATTGCTGTGCGATAAAGAAACTTGTGACTCCTTTGTGATTCCTTTGTGACGTCCACTGTTGGTCTTGCAGGTTCTGTGTACACCTGAGTGGTCTACGGCGCACTCCCTCTAGTTTCTAAAACACCATTACCTGAGAATCAGTACTTCTGTTTTTAAAGCACATTTTGTCCCTGATAGCCCCGGCCAGTGTGGGCCCAGGCACAGAAGGGTCTTGGGTTCAATTCTGAGCCAAAGACATGTACTTAGGTTGCAGGTTTGATCCTGGCCTCCAGTCAGGACGCATGCAGGAGGCAACAGCCCATGTGTCTCTCTCACATTGATGTCTCTCTCTCTCCCTCCCTTCCACTCTCCAAAAAAAAAATAAAAAAAAAATCTTCACCTGAGGATACTTTTCCATTGATTAACAAAAAATGAATTGGCCCTGATACCAACAGGTGTTTCTCCACCAATTTTAATGATTTTTTAAAATGTACAGAGTTTAGTGATGAGCCAGCTCTGTTCTCCTCGTGCCTCTCCTGGTCCCCTTTCCTCCCTTTTCCTCCCCTTTCTGTGTCGTTACTGGAGTTTCCAGTTTGTGGCAGTAGCTGGACAGCAGTATTAAAGCACTCAGTGGGGTGGACATTCTCACAACTTGTCATTTTTCAAGATTTGCTCCTTTGTGGTCTCACGAGGGCTGAGTTCTCACCTGCCCCTTGTCCCAGAGCCGGGGCCCAGGCAGTGGGACCAGACTACCAGTGAGGGGCCTGGACAGGAAGGTGGGGACTGTGGAAGGAACAGGGCTGTTGGGACAGCTCCAGGTTTCTTGCTGGGCAGCCAGGTGCTCGGGGCCCTCAGCCGNGGACTGTGGAAGGAACAGGGCTATTGGGACAGCTCCAGGTTTCTTGCTGGGCAGCCAGGCGCTCGGGGCCCTCAGCCAGCCTGCAGACCTAGGCTCGCAAATTGGCCTGTCTGGGAAGCGCGTCCTTCGTCCTTATTGGTGATGGTCACTAGTGGTCAGCCCCACAGACCTCTAATCAGAACGGTGCCTGGTATGTATTTATTTCTGCTCTAACCTTTCATCTTGACTCACCAAGATGGCTCTTTTCTCCCCAGGAAGACGGGTCACGTGACAGACTCGCAGTCACACCCTGTGCTCTCGCTTTCAGGCTGGTGACCATGGCAGTCACCGGGGACCCAGAGAAGACCAGCGGCGGCTTCCTGGCCCTGGTGCTGGCCAGAGCCTCTGGCCGAGTGGACGTCCAGTACTTGAAGAGGGAGTGGGCAACTCCAGTGGTGGACGAGCAGCGGAGGCTGCGGCTGCTTCTACAGAAAGCACTCTAGGGGGCGAGCGGCCCGGTGTCTGGGAGGACAGTGCTGTGGGGCCCCAGTGTGAGGGCATCGTCGCAGAGGCTGCCACAGTGGGCGTGGGGATTATGTAGATAGGATGCACATGTTCTGTACATAATTCATTTTACAGAACGCCACCTCAATGCTCCCAGTAAATAAATGACTATTTTTGAATGGAAACATTTTTAGTGTGTTCTGAACTTCAAAGGAAATAGTCATGCCCAGCACACTCTCTCCTGAGAATGTTTACTTATTTATAGAACAGCCTGAAAGTACTGTCCCATTTACTGCCAAATTTTAAACAGTCCACCTTGAAAACGTACTTTCATGAGCAGCTCTTAGTCACGCATGAAATGACTACAGACAGGACTTACTTAGAACAGAGGCTTTTACCTGCCTGGGGGCCACTGGGCCCCAAGCCCCTGCTACCGTCCCTGGCACACAGTAGAGCTCCGTCGGTCTTCATTAACCAGTGGCTGGAATCGGCTCCCATTTCTCTGCATTGTCATAAAGCTCACAGACTCGCACCCAGACTGAGGAGAGGTGGGCGCAGTCGTCCTCGTGGCCTGTGGGTCAGCCTTGCTCTTTCTCTCGCATGTAACCAGCTCAGCGATTGATGTAAATATTTAAATAGTTGTAGGTGCTTCACGTTCAGATTCTACTTCAGTTAAATTAGAATTACATCCATCCCTCCTTTTCTTTGCATCTCTTCTGTGTCTGCCCACAAAGTCTCGGGTGTTGTCCACAGTGGCTCCACAGCATGTTTTTTCATTTGGCTCATTTGTTCCCAGGAGGTAAATGCAGCTTCGGTCCCTGGAATTGCTCCAAGATGTTTAGCTGCAGCACACCACCCAAGCTATGCCTAAGCCAGTGACGGCATCAGGAGTTGCTCTTCATGGTCCCTCTAACAACCCTTGTGTTCTCAGCTCTGATTAAAGACTGGAACTCAGTGTGACGTGGGAGTGGGTGGCAGTCATCCTTCTATGAGGTGCAGGTGGGGGTACAGCTGGAAGGCGAGGCCAGTGAGGGAGTCGGGCCCACACAGCTCCCCAAGTCCTGCCTATGAGGTGACAGCTTTCCTCGTGCTGAAATTTCAAGTGCATTTTGTGATGCAGCCATGTGCCTGGTGCAGACTTGAACCACGAGTGTTGTTTCTGCATATTTAGCCCATCATTGCCCCCTGGCCTCACCCCAGGACCACCTCAGCCACGAACCCTGGTCGGTGGGTGTGCCCTCCTCCTCTCCGGGGTTGGGGACAGGCCATCTTCCGAAAGTGAAGGAAATGGGAAAAGCAACACTTCACACAGGACACCAGACTCGGGGTGAGGAGGGCCCAGTGCAAAAGGCACATCTGTCAACTTCACGGCATTCGCTTTGCGAGTTCCCTTCTAAGTCACATGGGCGGATTTGGTCTGCGATTCTGCAGAGCGTCCCACTCAGTCCCCAGGGCCCCACACGCGTGTTTGCACCTGGAAAACGCGCAGCTTGGAAAACCTATTTTGAACTGGGCTGTTGGGCTCTGTTGCTGGGTTGTGGGAGTTCCTTACCGAGTACTGAGGCACTAAAGAGCTGGTCCCGATCACTGGCCGTTTCTAGGTTCATTAACTTGGATTCATCCTTTAAAATGACAGAAAAAGCCGGGGCCTGAGATTAGCTTCTGAGTGTGTGTATTCCTGCCTCTCACTGTTACAGCCTCACCCCAGGCAGTGGTGCGGGTGTGAGACGAGCAGAGACGCGCAGCGACACTGCACAGCTCATGTGATAAGGAATCGCCCCTAAGCCGGGCTTTGTAGAATTTCATCTCCAGAACGTTCATCGTATTTTTTCTCTGATTATAATATTGGGGTTGGGGGACCTCCATCTTCCTGCTGGACGTGTTCTCACACCCCTGATGGCACAGCGAACACGGACGGCCCTGACTGTGGCGCGTGCAGGTTTATCTGCTGCCCTCTTCTTCCCAGGGGCAGGCTCTCTGTTTTGTCCACCGTTGTCCACTCCAAGTCCCAAGGACCTTGCCTGGGCCATAGAGACACTTACACTTTAGTTGAAAGAGATAACTTATGAGGAACCACTGTAACCTGTTGTGTATTTGTTTTTAGTATTTTTAATGCATATTATATAAACAAAGGATTCTATATACAATTTAAGTGCTTTTCAAAAAATTTAATCATCTAAACATTATCTTTCATTAAAATTCACAAACAGCCCTGACTGGTGCGCTCAGGGGTTAGAGCATCCGCCTGCACACCAAAGGGTTGAGGTTCAGTTCTGGTCAAGGGCATGGACCTGGGTTGCAGGTTTGATCCTCAGCTCCAGTTGGGGCGTGTTCTGGAGGCAACTAATCGATGTGTCTCTCACATTGATGTCTCTCTCCTCCCTCTCGCTCTAAAAAAATTAATGGAAAAAATATCCTCAGGTGAGGCTTAATTAAAACCTGCAGGGTGAGAGTCAATCTGTAAGGCGGCTTCAGTGTGTTGTGTGTTTTATATCTGAGAGAACTGTAGTTACATTATATGAAAATCACAACCTTGCATATTCTAGATTCATTATTGTAATTATTTAAACCGTGGCCGGGCTGATGGGCTCGTTGGTTGGGCACCATCCCATGCACACACAGGTCACCCGTTCGATTCCCAGTCAGGGCACATGCCCAGGTTTTGGGCTCGATCCCCAGCAGGGGGCGAGCAGGAGGCAGCCGGTCAGTGACTCTCATCACTGATGTTTCTCTCTCCCTCTCCCTTCTCTGTGAAATCAAAACATTTTAAAGACGTAAGCTTGAGTTTCTTAGACTTAATCACCTACAGCCTTCAGCACGACACGTGAAACCCTAAGTCTCAAAAGGAGAGGTTGGCCTAGTTGGTCTCGTAATGTTCTGACTACATTGCAATCGTTTATTTTCCGTTGTTTCTCCAGTTCCAGGTATTGGATGTGAGCGCAGAAAAGATCCCAGTAATTGCACGGTGTTCATGCTGAGGCCGCTGTGCGGACTCGGTCTCCCTGGGCGGCCGGGCTCGTGCTGCTGTGGGCGAGGCACCCACGACCACCTCTCCCTGCTCCGCTGTCCTCACTGAACCTTTGGAGAAGACAAAGGAAGCCAGAGTCCTTTTCTTTCCCTCTTCCCTTCAGTATAAAAGGTGCCCTAAATCCTTTGTAACGTCTGCAAGCGCAGCGGTGCCTCCGAGCGGGCCGGTGGTTGATGGGATGCACATCGCTGAGGCCTCTGCTGAGCTGTGTCCCCGTTTCCCAGGAATAGGGAAGTTAATGTGTAAAATTGCCGCAGAACCTGCATTCAGGTGGGGCTCAGCTTCACACCAGAGCTTGAGACAAAGCCTCGAGGGGAAGCTTCCGTCCCTCAGGATGGCAGACAGAGCTGCGGAGGGGAGCCGTGGTGTCAGCAGAGATGAGCCACCACGGCCTTCAAGGCAGCCGCACTGGCCCAGGGCTCAGCGTCCGTGCCCAACTGGCATGTTCCCTTTGGGGGTTTGCCCTGTGGGAACACCTGGGCCAACGCAAAGCACTCATGAAACAACTCCATCAACAGGGAGAGGGGGGAATGGATGACACAGTCCAGCTGTGGAATATTACGCAGCTGTTACAAGTAGAGTGATCAGTGTACAGGCCAGACCCACACCCTTGCCTTAACTAAGATACCAAAGTTGCAGAAACGTTTTTATAACTTGACCTAATCTCCATGAAGAAAAAGGGCAAAGAGGGACAGGGAGAGGCCTGCAGACATCGCGGAGAAGATCAGGAACAGCACCGGTCACTCAGTGTTTACCTCCAGAGGGGAGGCGAGCAGAGGGTGGAATCAGTCTTCCAGGTTCTAGGTGATAGTTGAGGTTATAGGACCCCTCTGTGTAATCTCTGCAACCTGAAAACGAGGCTCTTAAAAACCTGCCATTCTTGATGAGAAGAGAGCGTGTGGCGATTTCCACAGCAGGAGGGGCGCCTGACTCGCCCACTCCCTGCCCCCCAAGTGCGTGTTTCCATCCACGTGTCTGGAGCATGTTCCTCTTCATTCCCGGGCAACACAGTGCCGGTCACCAGGAGCAGGGACAAGGGACCTGCCTTCCCTGCTCCTTCCCGCCTGCTTTGCTCTGAGGAAAATCACCAGAGGCTGGTCAGTCCGCTCATTTCTAACTTCATCCTCTTGGCAATTTAAATTTTAGCAGCAGGTTCTATACCTCTTGAAATGAAGCAGCTTCGTTGAGCATGGAGTTTATTAGAAATATTGTTCTGCTTGTGGCATAAATCAGGTTAGGGGTTACTCAAGCACAAATGCATGCACACATGCACAGGGATGTGCACACACAGGCACACAGGCATACACTCACATGCACACATGGATGTGCACTCACATGCACACAGGCGTGCACACACTCCAGGTATCTGCCTGCCTCCAGTTTGCAGGTTCTCAGGTCCTGTGGAGCTGGGGTGGCCGCATGCAGACTCTACCCTAGGACTGCGGGAGCCCGTGGGTCACTGCTGGCCAGCTGCTCTAACAAGGGGGTCCTGTCGGGTACACGAGTGCCTGGGGGAGGGGTGGCTGCTTCCAGCGGCCATTGGGGTGCCGCGTGCCCACCGCCCCCCCCCCATCCACGCGCTGCTTCAGATGTGGGAGCTTCCTTCTGAGTGTGACACACTCGGCTGAAAGCGTGAGTCCCTCCTCAGCCTGAGACCCTGGGGCCACTGACACAGCAGACAGGTATGAAATCAGATTTATTGAACTGTTTACACATGGCCACATACACATTTATGACATTTTAAGAAGATACGTTGAGGCTGGTCACCCGCTCCTGCTGTCAGTAAATATTCACCTCCCAGCTCCCTCTCCATTTCCTGGGCAAGGTGCCCAGTCAGCTCTTTGGGCCTCGGCGGCCGCCTGCGGAAGAAAACATTGGTGTCCCTGCACCTAACACCTGAGCACAACCACAGCCCAGGTAAACGCAGTCTGCCTGAACGGCCAGGCTGTCTGAGTGGGGCCCGGCTCGGGGGTCAGGATGCAGCCAAGGTGCTGACCCACATCCCTGTTTGCCCTCCAGGACCTGCTCCCTGCACCTTCGAGTTGCCGACACGGTGCCAGGGTCTGTGATGCCACAGGAAGGAGACTTACGGCCTCAACTTTGAGAGGACCGGTGTGGTGCACGGGGTGAAGAATTGGGGGCAGCAGGCAAGGCCCTGGGGCTGGGTGTGGGCCCAGCGCCTGTCCAGCCAGTGCCTGGATGCATGTGGGTGCACTGACCTCTATCCTCTGTCCCGCTGCAGTCCCAGCCACCCCAGACCTGCCTCCAAGTCTGCAAAGTCAGAGGACTGGAAGCCAGGACTGGCTGCCAACATCGGACAGAAGCGCTCAGACATTTTTATATTGTGTTAAAATAATTCTCCACTTAAACAGAAATGACTTTAGGACTATTTTCATGACAAAGAGGATACGTGTGCTCCCCATTTCCAGCGTCGTCCTGATGACCAGCAGCCTGCTGGCCTTTTCGCTTCCTGCTGGCGACTCCATGGGGTGCTGTTCAGTGGCGGAGGGGCCCTCATAAAGCACAGGTCCCTCGAGGGGTGACATGCTGCTCCCTGCTGCTGTGGCCCTCGAATCAGGGAGAGGGGACGCCTAGGAGGGGGATCCGCCTTGGTTTGCAGGAGCAATTTCAGGGAAGTCCTAAGCCTGCTTCTGTGTCCTGCAGACAAGTGGGCAGCCCCTGTGGGACCCGGGTGGGGGCAGGGATGGGAGTCATGCAGAGGGGGCCCAGCTCCTTGCTGGGGACAGACATCCAGGTTAGAAACCTCTTGTCTTCCTTCCACAGCAGCTGGACTCAAGTCTGGGCCAGCGCATCTCATTTCAGGGGTCACCTGGTATCCCCTATTCTCTTAGAAAATGGGTCAATCTACACAGCCAAACATTATGAACAAAATCACCTAAATGCTGAAGTTTAACAATAATTAGATTTAAGTCCCTGTCAAATTAGAGGTCACCCAGCTCCACGATGGACGAGCGAAGACCAGGTGTGCTGAGCTGGAACTGATCTACCCGGGCACCCCAGGGTCCGTGTTGTCTCTGGCCCTCGGGGGGGGCTGGGCAGGCACCCTAGATGACCGAGGTCTCTGTCTGCAGGAAGGACGGGGCGCGGGAGCCGCGGTGGAAGTGCAGGGTGCTCTCCGAGCCGTTCCTGGAGATGGACAGACTGTGGATCCTGTCTCCCCGGCCGGAGGGCTGGCTCGGGCACAGGCTCCGCCACTTCCTCCTCAGCTCGTTCTGCACCTGGGGGTCGGCAAAGCGGGCGGAGTGGGGTCAGGAGGGGGGGCTCGGCAGAAAACACCCCTCCCTTCTGCCCCTCCTGGTGTCATCCCTCCCAAGTCCCATCAGACGACAGGAATGGGCTTGGGAAGAGGGGGGATGGGGAGGGGACACAGACGGGGGTCAGGGGGCGAGGAAGAGTCCAAAGAACCGGAGGCTGGGAGCTGGTTCCAGGCACCTTCGGTCCATAGGACAGCAGCAGACACACCCAGAGCCCGAGACAAATGATCTAGGTTCTCAGCAAAGGTCCCAGCGGAGCCCGGGAGGCAGCACTGTGTACTGACAGCCCCAGCGAGGGCGATTCCGGGGAGTTTGCAAAGAGCAAGGACAGGCAGGTGGAGTGGCTGAGACCAGGGTGAGGATGAGCGGAGGTGACAGGTGGCTGGGCTGTGGAAGGTGCTGCGCTGGGACCGGCCACACCCGGCAGGAGAAAGCTGGAGGAGGGGCGGCCGGGTGAGGGAAGACAGCCTCGTCGTGGCAGGTGCATCGGGGGGCTGCGTGTGAGGCTGCCGGTGGGTCCCCGCCCTGCCTGTGTGCCCCTCTCGCCCCGTGGCCATGCCCTCTGCCTCCGTCTGGGCGCTGGGGGCTCTGCTCTCTGCAGACACTTTGGAACACGTGAGCCCTGAAGGGGCCACAGCAGCAGCAGCTGGGGCGGCAGAGACTCAAGAGCAGGAGCTGGCGATGGCCTGGCCTGACGCTCCCTGTCACTCCTGCTGCCGAGGTCGGTGGGGACTCGGGACTTGGGAAGCATTGGTACATGGGCGGGGAGGAACCCAGCCAGCAGGTGCAAAAAGGAGCAGTCAGAGTGGGGACGGCATGGGAGCCGGGAAGGTGACCGCAGCTCAGATGTCCCGATGGTGCATAGGAAACGAGTGACATTCAGGGGACAGGGCAGAGGACGGGGCCACCAGGGGGACACGTGCATACACTTCCTGACACACCCTAGGCTGGATCTTAGGGGCATGGTGGTTCCTATTGGTGTATCTGCCCCCTGCCTCTCTGGGCTCACATCCGGGGTCAAAGAGCAGGAGGGTGACTGTGCAGAGAGGTGGGGTCCCTCCCGACACCCCATCCTGCCGGAGGCTGGGCCATGGCGATGCTTGGAGTGGGGAGAGAGGCTGTGTGGTCACAGCTGGAGGGAAGGGTGAGCGGGCCGTGGCTGTTTGGGCCGAGAGACCACAGACGCCTGGCTGTGGGAAGGGCAGACAGAAGACAGAAGACGGGGCTCTTGGTCCAGATTGGGGGGCACTTAGGAAATCCCTCACAGCCCGCGTGTCCATACTTGGCCCCAAGGTGTGAGGACCTCTTACCTCGCTGTTGAGGAAGCAGTAGAGGATGGCCACCACCAGGCCCTGCAGCGAGAAGGGGTCGTCAGGGGCGCTGCACCCTGGGGCGGGGGGGACAGGGATGGGGCCAGCCCCTGCCACACGCACCTGGAAGGACCCCACGCACAGCTCGAACAGGAGCTGGTAGTTGGAGTAGATGCCCATGGGAAATACAGCGAACACCATGTAGTGGATGCCAAACAGCGGGATGAGCAGCAGGGTGGACTTGGTCAGCCTCCTGGCAGAGAGAAGGGCCCGAGCGGTGCAGCGGGGTGAGCACAGTGATGCTGCTGGGCCCCTCGCTGTCCGATGGGGAAGCCCGGTGCCAGGTGGGCCGGCAGAGAAAGGGGCTCCTTGTCCATCCCAGGCACAATCCCACGTATCTGTCCACTGCTCTTCCACGACACTTAGTGCCCAGCCCTGATGTCTCTCTAATGTTAACTCAATGAGCCTCCATAACCTCAGTGACATGCTCATGATTATTCCACAGGTGAGGACATGGACTCACAGGCCCCCAGGCCTCCAGCCGGCAGGCACCCCAGCACCGGGCTCCTGACCCCAGGGATGCTGCCTGTGGTCTCCCAGGCTGGGAGGAGATTGGCGAGTGGAGCCCACCCCCGGGGCACACGGGTACCTGCCCCGGGTCACACAGCTCTCGCCGCTGTGATTCCTCCCCTGGTCCGCTGGACCCGCGGCTCCGAGGGCTGGGCCCACCACCCCACACGACACTAGCCATTACTTCACGCTCGAGGTGTGGGCTTTATTTCCCCTACACGATCTCGGTGGAAATTAATAAAACCATCCTCATTATTAAGTATAAGGCCCAACAGCAGTGCTGGCCTAGCCTGTGGTCTGGGGGGAAGGAAGACAAGGTAAAACACAGATGGACGGTGACCAGAGAAAAATCAGATGACCAGGCAGGAAAGTGGGCAAACGGGCCCAGTGCACAGGCCCCCTGGAGGGCCCCACGCGAGGTGGAGAAGGGGCCCCACCTGAGCCCCCCCCCGCCCTGGGCAACACTGTGCACACAGGTCCCTGTAACGAGCCTCAGAGAGAAAACTCAGGCCATCTGCCGGGGGCGAGACCCGGACTCCAGAGCCCGGGAGCCTTCTCTGCTCCCCACACACTTGCTTCGTCCCAGCACTTGCGGTTTCCAGGCTGGGAGGCCCGTGAGGGCGTCTTGGCCGACAGAAGCGACACTCACTTGTACTGGGACTGCTCACTGCCTCCGACATCGGGGGACGTCAACTTCTGCAGTAAGATGCGTAAGATACTCACGAAAAGGGTAAAGTTGACCTGCAGGAAAGGGGCGAACGTCTGCTCCTGATTTCCCTGCATGGGAGGCCGGGTGTGGCCGGGGTGGGGGAGGCTCCGCCCTGAGTCCACCCCTTCTCGAAGGCATGGGGCCCGGGCCTTGCGTTTACTAAGAGCCGGCCCTGCCCAGCGTGGAGCCGGACATTGTCTGTCAGCTGCATCACGTATTGTGACCCCAGCTGTGTAAATTAATGTTGAGAAGTAAAGAGGACAACCGGGCGTGTCCTAGGGGTCAGCCTGAGTGTGGCTCCTCGGAGGACCCCCCACTGGGGGACACACGGGGGCTCCCTCTCTGCTCTGTCCTGTCACCGGGACCTCCTCCCGAGGGCGCAGAGTCCGCTATGCGAGGGGCACCCTCCCGTGAGCTTCTGCTCTTGCAGACTGTGGGACCCGGATGTTACATGTAACACAGGACAACGGCTCCCTCTCTGCCCGAATGTGCAGCCCAGCTGGCAACTCCACTTCCGTGCAGATTACTCACTATAATAGAGACTAAAATCGGGGTTCGGATGACCCACCAGGGACCACTGTGCTCGTTGGTGTCCCAGCAACTGCAGGAAGGAGAGAAGGGAAGTGATGTCACCAGCGATTCTGTCCGCGAAGCAAGGAGGACAAGTGTGCGGCCTGTGGACTCGCCCTCCCTGAGCCCGTGGACAGCCCCCCCCAAGGATGCCACCTCCCCAGTCTGTTCTGCGGTCCCGCCTTGTCCCCACATGCCCACGAGAAGGGCACAGTGACTGTATGTTTAGAGACCTTGACGTGATCAGTCCCTCTCCAGTGATTCCATTTCATTTTATTATTCTCAACACGATAGTCTGCTAATGGGGAGGTGACACCGCAGTGGAACCCAGAAGCCAGGAGAGGGGGAAGGTCAAGTCCCATAGAAATCAAATAACTTGTGGGTCTAACGTGGCGGTTGGTGCAGAGCATGCTGTTCCAGCAACACCGAAGGAAGGCCGGATGCCAGGAACCATTGGTATCGTTCCTTCTCTTCTGAAGCACTCACCCCGTGTCTTCCAAGGAGAGCCTGGCCACGGTCCACGCGCCTGTGCACACGGTGGGGATGCCTGTGGAGACGACACACCCGTCACCCAGGGACACACCCGGTTACCCACAGCCCCTCGCTCTTAGCCCGGAGCAGCTTCCCAAGCCAGGGCTCAATGAGGAAACGTGAGGTGGAAACTCCTCATTAACCACCTGCTTGCGCTCCTCCTTGCTAACAGCGGCGGTAACTCACGTGCGTCTGAAAGCCGACTCTTCACGGCCTGACCCTCGGGGCTGCCTGGTGAGTGTTTATGAAGCGTGGAAGGGGCTGTGCCCACCAGCCCATGGACGGTGCCCCTCACTGAGTGGGGTGTCCCACAGTGTTGCCCCCTTTCTGAGTCTGGCTCGGGGGGGCTCACTAACAGGTGTGTCACTGGGACCTCCTGCCCCTCCTCCCGGGCCTTCTGTCTGACTCCCCATGTGGGTTCCCTCCAGCAGCGGGACGTGGAGCAGTTTAACCCAGGCTCCTGATTCCCAGGAGATCGAGTGTTAGTTGCCCTGGAAAAGCTCTTCCTCAAATGACTGGAAATGCTCCCCACGGGGCAGCACAGTGTCCTCTGAGGGGACAGGAGCAGGGACCTGGGGGGTTCGTGGGCAGCGGATGGGGCGTCGGGCACACAGTGGGTGGGCAGGGAGGGCGTCCTCACCCCATCCGATCAGGAGGTAGGCCTGGAAGCGGCGGCTGGGGGAGAAGATGGCCACCAGGAGGGTGTGTAGGTACAGCCCCTCCACCAGCAGCCAGTAGAAGTTGGCCATGATGCAGTACTGGAAGAAGACCAGGCTCAGCTTGCAGCCCACCTGGACGCCAAAGGGCAAGAGAGCGTGTTCTGTTTGGATGAAACAACTCAGGGCAGGCACAGCTGCTCAGGGACACGGCACCCCCGCCCATTTGTGTAAGGAAGCAGGACCCCCAACACGGAGACGCTGACGGCAGGTGTGAGTGTGCTAGAGAGGCCTCAGCACCCACGGCGGTGGCACGCAGAGCTCACTGGAAGGTGAACACGGGCACAAGCGGGTGTGCACCGCAGTCCCCGAGCAGCAGACACGTAACTAGGGCACTGAACTGCGGGCCCCTAGCTCCTCGCCTGCCCTCTGCCCTCCTCTCCAGCTCGTCCCCACCCACAGGCACCCCCTTTTCTCTGTTCATCTTCACTATCCTCTCCTAACAAGAGACAAAAAGGTAAAGAGAAAACCCAGAGAAACCAGCAGATGAATTATTTCCCAGGAGTTCTGAAGGCGACCCTTCCCTCTGGAGGACCCCGTACCCCGGGACAGCCTTACCCAGGACGGCTGGTCCGGGCAGTGCAGTGTGCTCGAGCTGGAGTACAGAACATCGTCCTTCACCAGCACCGAGATGGCTCTCAGGATGAAGGACAGGAACAGGTTCAGGTGGATGTGGTTCCGGGTGCAGTGCAGCCGCCTGTGTGGGGAGGGGAGGGACAGATCATCAAACACTGATTCTGTGAATTTGCAGAATAATTCTAGAACTCCTGGGTGAATTTTTGCAAGGTTGCTGAACCAAGATTAATATACAGAAATCAGCTCCTTCCTTGAAACAATTATAGAATTTAACAGAATATATAAAATGGCATAAACAATTCCCTAGAAATGACTATCTGAAGAGGTGCAAGACTTTAGCCCAAACCACAAAACATCATTGAAAGAAATGAAAGAAAACCGAAATAGGAGGATCTATGATCGTCACAGTTGAATGATTCGAAATTGAATGACACTTGTCTATCCACGCAGACCTATAGATTAAATGCCTCCAAAACGAAATCCTGCAGAAGTTCTTTAAAATGGCAACTGACAAGTTGATTTTTAGAAATCCACATGTTGAGGGCAAATGGCCAAACTCTTCCTGATGAGAAAGAAAGTCGGCAGAGTCACGCTGGTAGAAATCAAGACTCAGGGTAAAGGTATAGAAATTACAACAATGTAAAAATGACACAGTGACAGTCGAGGCAAATGGAACAACAGAGCGTCTAGTCCTGCGATACAGTCACGTTGCAACACAGTGGTCAAGGACGGCCTTTTCACGAAATGGTCCTGGATAAACTGGACACAGGTTCTGAAAAAGACAAATGGAACTGAACCCCCACCTCATGCTATACACAAAACTAAATGACAGATGGATCATAAACCTAAAGTTAAAATTTATAAAATATCTCAATGATAACAGAATATGCCACAAATTTCTCAAACAGGACTCAGGAAGCACTGACCACAAAAAACAAGTGATAAATGACTTCATTATAATCAAGAACTTTTCTTGATCGAAAAACCCATTAAGAGACTGTAAAGTCAAACCAAAAGACTGGAGATCAAATTTCTAATACCTATATCTGACGAGACTCCACTATAGGATTCCTAAAAATCAATTTATAAAGAGAGGCACAACAGAATAAAAAAATGAGCAAACACTTGAAACAATACTTAAAAAAAAAAAAAAAGAAGATTTCCAAATATATGATTTCATTATCTACCAAGGGAATGCAAACTAAAAAACACAATTTCATATTGTTGTTATAGACCCAACTGGATGGTTAAATTTTAAAAATTGACAATAATAAGTGGTGACAAGGATGCAGAGCAAATAAAGTCTCATACAAGTCTCAGTGGGGATGGCTGAGGCCACCACTGGGAAATCAGTGGGCGGTACCTAGAAAGACTGAGCCTATGCACAGCCTATGGCCGGCCAGTAAATGAAACATAAATATGAAATAAGCACTGCTATACATGTGCACACATATAAGCACAACACATATCTAAAGAAGTGTGTACATGATGATGCATAAGAATATTCATAGCTTCACTGTTACAGCTCCACACCGAGAGTCACCGTATCCCCACGAGCCGATGAAGGACAGACGAACTGTGTTACATGCACGCAGCAGTGAGAGAAGAGGATGACCACGTGCGAAAACACCGGGGGATTTCCCTGCAAGATGCTGAATGAAAGGACCCAGGCAGAGGAGTTCCCTTTGTGTGATTCTAAGATGTTCATAAAGAGGCAAAGGTCATCTACAGAAACCCGAATGACGGCTACCTCCTGGGGGCGCGGTTACGAACACGGGGTCAGGAGGGAGGCTCTGGCGCGAACAGCATCCTAAGTCCCGACCGGGGCATGTGTGCATCCGGAGACACATCAAGCTTCCAGGGGAAGCCGCCGACACGCCACGGAATATGTTTAAAGCTGCCACGGAGCCTCAGTCACTGAAGACACTAACTGCGATGTAAGTTTTTCTGGGTGTCTCAGGAATAATTCTAAAGCTGCTGTGACTCCTACGCTGTGGTGTAAACCGCTGGGGGCTCGGGGCGCCTTCAGAAACCACGTCCCTGCAGCCGATGCTGCTTTGCTCCCCGTGGCTTCTCTGGTGGGCTGTGCTCATCTCTCCAGCCGCCCCTTCTTTCTCTCCGCCCTCTGTCTCTTCTCCTGCTCTCTCACCGCGTCTTCCCGTGGAGTGGGTCCGGGTTTGTCGCTGTCAGAGAGGAGTGCACCGAGCCACGCAAACGCCACGCTTGCCGAGCTTTGCTCTCCATCACTCGTGGCTCATCTACAAGTTTCACCTCCAAGTACAGATCTGAGTGGATGCCAGACGCAACTCAAAGCCAGGCTGCAACTGGTGATGCTGGGAACAGAAGCCATGCCCGTCCCCAAAGCTGGCGGCTCTGCTCTCACAGGCTCAGCACAGGGAACCTGGGCTCCTTCTCCAACTGGTGAAACCGAGCACTAGCAGCACGTATCTGGTGGAGAGGCCGTGAGGACTAACTTATGGACGCCTGTAAAATGCGTGGCATGATCTGTGTTGGCAGCTATTGCCGTTACTCCCGGGCCTGCAGGGATCAGAGCTGCTGTGCCCACAGGACACGCTCAGGATAGGAGGTGCCATGACCACCCAGCCACGCCTGGGCGGTGTGCTTGCCATCCCAGCCCACACTGCACTTCGGGACCTGGATAACTGGCCCCTTTCTCTGTGCTTAAAATGACAAGGTTGCTTAATGCTTTCATAGCTTATGGGGCCAGGACGGAGAGTCAATGTTGGGAGACTACAAAGAATTCTCTTCCTGGGTGTAATTATGGGGACAATGGAGCCTGTTATTTTTATAAACAGGGCTTCTGAATCCAGCACTCTCAGCTATCCAGGGAAGTGGCTTCAGCTACACAAGCACGTCTGACAGATGGAGGCAGGAAGGGAGCCGCAATTCCATGGCCGAGACGGAGGCAGAGCTGAGAAGGGTCCCCGGCTCCAGGAGCTGTTTCTAGCAACCAGGACACATCGAGTCAGCAGCAGAACGACACCCGAGGCAGATACGTCCTCTGTAACGAAGATGTCTCAGCAGCAGGTGACTGATGATGTCCACGTATAGAGGATTGTGCTTAATACTCATAAAACCACTTAAGATTCTCTTAAGAGATCACATCCGTATTTCTGATAATTCCAAAAACACTACTAGGCTGGCTATTAAGTACGTCACATAGAACAAATCCGAGGAAACCGCCAATGACAAGAACATGGGTTGTTTAGTTCTTTGAAAATAACCAGAAATGTTTCTCCTAGTTTGTTATCCTGGGCCAGCCTCCCCTCCTGAATTTTTCTTTGTCATCTTGAAAAACTTGAAGATTTAAAAATATATAGTAAAACACAGAAGATAGTGCAACAAATATTAATGTGGTACCAGCTTTTTTTTTTTTTAAAGAACTAGAATAGGATAGATGTTGCCCAGTTTTCAATGTACACTTATTTTTTCTGAGAATCACCAGCCCCTGATACAGGCGAGATGCCTGGAAAATGATGAGTGTAACTTAATTACGTTTGCTGCATTTCTCAGCTATATTCCTCTCCAGTCTCTACTCATTTATTTCACTTTCAAGCATGGATCTGCTAATGGGTTAAAGACACGTCAGTGGTTTTACCTCAGTACTGTCAACATGTGAACTATATCTTAGCAAAGAGAAATGAGATATGTGGTGATCAAAACCCCATTAAAATAAGCTGAATATCATTCATTTTACTTAGTGCCAGTGATGCTTAAGACATGGGTTTAATCCTAAATACGCTTATTAGCATTTCCTAGACAGAAGCTTCTGTTTGCGGACCGAAGCCTCTATCCTCCAACCCTGACACACAACATATGTCTCTAGTTACCAAAGAGGCTGCCAAGTTCAGGTGGGAGGAAGGGACTCTAACCTCACTGCCACGGGAAAAAACAGGCAAAATGTAGAGTGCTTACCACACGCCATGCGTGTGCCACCAGCATCCACATTTTACAGATGCACAGAGCGGTTGAGTAATCTGTCCAAGGTCACACAGCGGCTAAGAGACTGACCTGGGGTTTGAACCCAGGCAGTCTGACTCCCACCTTCATATTAAACACATTAGAGTGTCTCTCGGTGGAGCACCGGTGGCCCAAACGGCACCTGTTGTTTCTATAGTTTCACAGCATTTGCATAACAGCTGTATTTGGTAAATAATGGTTGATCTGAATTCTTGTCCACAGTCAGTATTATCTCTTTACAGAAGGAGTACAGAATATTAAAATGAAAATGTAACTACTGGCATCACATTTCACACTGGCATTCCCGAGGGCGCCCTGTCGGCTTAGCGCAGAGAGGGCTCGAGGCCCGATCTCCTCTCCTCCTCTGAGGGCTTAGGTGTCGTAAATGGACAGTCCCCATCCCGGATTCCTTGCAGAATTGCTCATTTGCGCTGCTTACCTGAAGAGGCAGAGAATTATGCTTCCGGTTGTAAGAGAAATCAGAGAGACGCTGTAGCCCAGGGTGTAAATGGCCTTCACCACAATATAAAACGTGATCTACAAAGAAAGAAACGCATCTGTGAGCAGCTGGTGGCCAGCGTGGGGCCAGGGGACAGTCTCAGGTCCAAGGATTCTGAAAACACCACGATTCATGCCAAAGAAAGTGGAAAATCCAGCAGTAAAAAGGGGGGGACAAGGAACACAGCTGAACCCCATGTTCTTCCCCAAGCCCCAGCTGACGGCACCAACCCGATGGCACCAACCTGGTTCCAATCTCCAGTGAGAAACAAAGGAGGTTTCCTACAGGAGGAGAGTGCTGCTGCTTCTGTGTGAGCGTGAGCGTGTGTGTGAGCATGTGTGTGTGTGTGAGCGTGTGTGTATGTGTGTGNAAACAAAGGAGGTTTCCTACAGGAGGAGAGTGCTGCTGCTTCTGTGTGAGTGTGAGCGTGTGTGTGAGCATGTGTGTGTGTGAGCGTGTGTGTATGTGTGTGCATGTGTATATGTGCAAGAATGTGTGTACATGTGCACGTGTGCATGTGTGTGTGTGAGCGTGTGTGTATGTGTGTACATGTGTGTGCATGTGTATATGTGCAAGAATGTGTGTACATGTGCACGTGTGCATGTGTGTGTGTGAGCGTGTGTGTANGTGTGTGTGAGCATGTGTGTGTGTGTGAGCGTGTGTGTATGTGTGTGCATGTGTGTGCATGTGTATATGTGCAAGAATGTGTGTACATGTGCACGTGTGCATGTGTGTGTGAGCGTGTGTGTATGTGTGTACGTGTGTGCATGTGTATATGTGCAAGAATGTGTGTACATGTGCACGTGTGCATGTGAGCGTGTGTGTGTGTGTACATGTGTGTGCATGTGTATATGTGCAAGAATGTGTGTACATGTGCACGTGTGCATGTGTGTGTGCGTGTGTGAGCGTGTATGTGTGCACATGTGTATGTGTGTGCGTGTGTATATGTGCGAGAATGTGCGTGTGCGTGTGTATGTATGCGTGTGCGTGCGTGTGTGTGTGTGCGTGCTCTCTGCTTCTTTCCCTTAATTCTCGCAGTGATTCGGGCCCCATGTCAGTGAAGAACGGGCTGTGGAAACCCTGCCCCGAGGTGACCTCCTTCTGAGGTGACAGGTCCGGGATGTGGAAATGACGTCATTCCTTTTGGCTTCAAGGCTGCAGCGCCTGACGGCTTTGTTTCAGAAGAAAGTAGATGATAGGCCAGGGTTTGGAAAATGTCCTCAAAAATTCTAATTTTAGGTTTTTGAAACATTTGCTATTTTCTTTTCTGATTAAGGGGTTATGACTTTCCATCATTTCATCTTGTAATAAGAGTTCCGTTGGAAACGAACTATTTCAACCTTTTCAAAAGCACAGAAAACTAAACACGGGCAACACATCCGCTAAGAGATGGCAGAACCAGAACCGCGCTGAACGGAGTCACGGGGCGGCACCAGGTCTCCACTTCTGCAGGCGCCGCCTATCTGGCACACTTCCTGCCCGCGCACCGCTGCGCCCGTGAGCGCTTCGTCTGCACACGGTCCTTGTGGAACCCGCGTCACCCTCCCTCAGAGTGTCCGTTTTCAAACCCGTCGTCCCAGGTCTTCAAACTCAGGTGAAGTAGGGAGGCCGGTGTGAGAGCCCCGACCCCCGGGCAGGGGACCGAGCTTTGCGGCCTCAGAGAGACTGAGGTCTGGGCCCCGCTCTCGGACCTTTAGCTGAAAAACAGAGACAACAGCAATATGATGCCCTTCTTGATATTTGACCAAGAACTTCCAGCACAGAAGCCCTAAGATATCTCAGGTCATGTTGGGCGAAGAGAGAAAACTCATGAAAAACAGGATGGGGTGAGCCGAGCCGAGCCGAGCCTCAGCACACGGGGGCCCGGCCGGCTCCTTCCCTGACGAGGCTGCTGTCTCCTCGCCTGGGGGATAGTGTCGGTCCCTGTCTCATGTCCCAGTTCTTACATGCTGTCCAGATCTTCATAAGTCGAACGTGGGGTCCGAACAGCACGGCTGCTGTTTTCTCTGAGATGTGCACGGTCGCAGGGGGAGCGAGGAAGGCAGGCTGGCTNCGTGGGGTCCGAACAGCACGGCTGCTGTTTTCTCTGAGATGTGCACGGTCACAGGGGGAGCGAGGAAGGCAGGCTGGCTTTTCAACTTGTTTCAAGGAAACAGCCTCCGGATTATTGACACCGTCAGCCCGAAACACGGGCGAAACCTAAAATCCAGCCAGGCAGGGGATGCAGCCCCAGCGGGCCCATCGCACGGCTTGACCTACTTAGTTTTTGTCTCTGGTGAACAGATGTCATACGTTTCCTCTTCTTAAACTCTGAGACCTGACCTGCAGCACGAATTCTGGAGGCAAAAGTAATCCTGGGACAAAATAGCCGCCCGATGCAGAACGAAAGCCGGGAGCTGGAACCTGACTTGGCCAGGCCGCGTTTCCCCACCAGGGACAGGAGCTGATGGAAGCGATGACTCAGGGTCCCTGGCTCATGGACCCTGCAACTGCGGGGACGCCTGTGACAACTCGGCCTCAGTGTTCACGCTCCAGGAACCAGTGATTTCATTTGTTACCCTGAGCAAACATTCACTTTTATACTTAATTCTCCATTCTGGTTATGCCGGGTCTTGTCCCGTCTGCCTCACTGTCCCTGCTCCTGGGGTCACCCCTTTGCTGATAAGCCGCGCAGCGTGGACGGCACTCACGAGGCCCTAAGAACCACGAGGGGCAGCTCCTCCTGCCGTTCGACGGAGAAGCTGCCCTGGACTTGTTACAAAGCTGACTTAGGTCGGCAGCCGTAACAGAAGCAACGTGGGTCCGAGGACGCTCAAGTTTGCTCCCTGGAGACGCCCTTCGCCATCCTCAGGGCCCTGTCCCTGCCTCCCACGGGCGGGCTGCTCGGTCGGGCAGGGCCCGTGGGTGCCCAGGGTGGCGTGGTCTCTGCTGTCAGGGATGAGACCTCGCAGAGCTGACATTGGCGGCTCTGGGGAGCGAGTCACGGCAGTGGTCTGAGGCTGAGGCGAGAGCAGACGTATTTTTAGGAATATGGCATAATATGGAAGAAATGTGTCTGCTTGATGCATGGATGGCTGAAAGGCCAAGCAGCTCTCTTGGCTAAATTTAGCAGAAGTGTTCTTTACTTAAGAGCTGTGTCAGCTCATATATAACAGCCTCACGGGAGCACACCGCCTGGCCTGGCGCCCGTGTAGGTGCCTGTGTGTTGTGGGGCAGCTGTCCCTCAGCGAGGTAGCCAGGCAGCGGGCCATGGTGGCAGCGTGGGCAGAGTCACACACGGGGTCCGAGATGAAGCCCGGAGGGCGGGCACAGCTCTGGTCCTTCCAGATTCATCCAGAAGATTCCTGACACTCAGGAGAAAGGATTATACTCTGAGGCCACAGAGACTAACCTACTGCTAAATTTCTACTTGTTTCCATTTTCTCCGGCTCTCAGCACCCCTGGGAGATCACAGACGTGGGGATGTTGGGCTGTAGGTGGGAACCAAGGCAGGGTCCTGGCCTAAGGGAGCTCAAGAGCCTTCGGTGCATGAAGGAAGTCAGGAGGCCAGGGTCAGGGGAGCTCCAGGGTCCGGGGCAGGAAGGGCCAGGAGGGCCTGAGGGCAGGTGGCCAGGCTGACGACCCCAGGTGGAAGGCCCTGGGCTGAGAACACAACGCCAGGACAACCTCCCGGGTGCAGGAGACGCTCAGCTCCCATGATTGGTGGGGCCCCTGAGAGGGTCTCGTGGTCCAGTCTGACCTGCTTTCCCTGCAGCGTTCAGCAGGTGACATGGGACAGGGGAGAGGAGCTGCTGGTGTGGCACCCAGGGGACCAGGGATGGGGCTTAAGTTCTCTTCATAGGATTAAACCCTTCATCCCGTGATTAGCAGATGGAAATGCTCTCTACACAAGGCACCTGTCTGAAGGTTGGTTTGGTAGAAAACCAGGCATGTGGGAGGTGGGACACGGGAACACGTGGCTCCTGAGCCATGCCTGCCGCGTCAGGTTTTCTCTGCACCGGAAGATATGGCCCAGACCACAACAAACCCCCGTGATTTCTGGGGCCTCCCGGGGTCAGAAGCAGTGGTCGTCTGAGCGTCCTGTGGGCTTCGACCCCTTTCCCTCTTCAGGGGCTTCCTCCTCCTGACTTCATTTCATCGTTCAAGTCCCTCACCACGTGTAGGCAACCCTGTGGCTTTCGTGGAGGCTACTTTGTTTTCCCTTGAATTAATTTTGAAACCAACAAAGACTGTACAAGAAACACCCAGGCCAGAGTGTGGCTGTGGNGTTCAAGTCCCTCACCACGTGTAGGCAACCCTGTGGCTTTCGTGGAGGCTTTGTTTTCCCTTGAATTAATTTTGAAACCAACAAAGACTGTACGAGAAACACCCAGGCCAGAGTGAGAGCAGGAAATCCAATTAAAACCACGGACCTGGGAGAAGGTGAGCGGGTGACGAGATGAGGTCTGACATCTGGAGCTTGAGTTCACCCGGGGGCAGGAGCCGGGTCTCATCACAGGCCCCTCGCTCCACCGCTGGGGACCCGCTGGCACCGTGACGGCACCTCTCCCACCCTGGGACCAGTCCTGGCCCTTGGGCGCACACGCGCCTCGTGGATTTCGTCTCTGAAATAATTCCCTGAACATCCACGTATGCAAAGTGTTCATGGAAACCGCAGTGAGGAAGGGAAGCTAATTTTTGTGGTTTTGTGCTCATTTTCTTTGCTTTCATACATTAAAATATTTTGACTTTCTAATCCGTTAGCAGGGACTCTGCATTCATGAAATCTGCAGAATCTATGAAATGTCTAATTAAGAAGAAAAATTGCTCTTCCAAATGGATGGGAAAGTATCAGAATTTACAGATGCTCCCTGCTTCTCGCAGGCAGGACCCAGTGAACCCAGAAGTTTCATAAATGGTATTGCTGGGAATGCCCCCAGGGGTGACCCAGGGCAGACTGAGGACATGGGCATGGTCCGCCCACATCTGTAGGTGCCAATACTGCAGAATAAAGCCACAGTCACACACGGCTGCAGGGTGAGCTCAGGAGAGAACGATGGCCTTGTGCTGAGGCCGAGGAGGCAGAGAGGCCCAGGCAGAGCCGAGGCCACAGGTGACCTGAAGCTCCCTGCAAAAAGGGCTCATGTGCTCACACCTGTCACCTCCTGAATTATGCTGCCTCACGGTGCCCCGAGGAGGGGACGCCTGCCAAGACGTAGCCCCCAACACGGCCCAGGGACAAGTCACCCAGCCAGCCTGTACCGGGTGGGACAGACTCCGCCTCTTGGTTTGCAGAGAAACTCTAGAGTTGGGCCCATCTCCCACCCCTGACTCAGGTCTAAGAGAACTGTGAGGCTTCTCGCTAGCCCACGTCACGGAGAACGTAAACCAGGATGGAGAAACCCCAGAGGCAGAAAGGACGCTCATTAGGGCTCATCAGGCAGGTGGAGCCTCCCAGACTCTCTGGCTGCAGGTGAAGAGAATCAGCCTCTTCTGCCTCCAAAACCACAGCTAACTCCCTGCCCTGCAGCAGGTGACATCGCGAACTTGCTCGAGGTGGCCAGGAAGACGCAGGGCTGCTACTCCAAGGAGAGGGGATCGAATGACTCTCGTGGGCAGAGGACCGGTTCACGTGAGCCTCCGGAGAATGGACTGGAGACTTGACAGCCTCGGGGCTTACCTTGCTCCCGGCCTCAGGGTCACTGTAGCCGCAGGCGTCCATGAAATCTGGAAACGTCTCCGACCACCCCTCACTTGTGCAATTCTTGCTGATGTTTCCTGGAAGATAAAGTTCAGGTGTCTGAACGTGCAGATTGCGGGGATGAAAGAAAGTCTTTCCTTCCTGGGTCTCCTTTCTCTCCACCCCGGTCTTGGCCACAAGACTATTTACAGGACGTCAACAGTCCAGTTCTCCAAGTTTTTACCCTTAACACCTGCCCAGGGTGAAGGTAAGTTCTCCAGAGCCCTCCTGACTTCCAGGTGCGTCTTCTCTTTTTTAAGATATGTTTTCATTGATTTCAGAAAGAAGAAGGGGGAGGGAGAGAGAAACATCAATGATGAGAGTCACTGATCAGCTGCCTCCTGCACGCCCCCGACTGGGGACTGAGACCGCAACCCGGGCACATGTGCTGACCGGGAACCGAACTGGGGACCTATTGGTGCATTGAATGACTCTCATCCTCTGAGCCAAATTGGCCTGGCTGTCTTCTCTTTTTCATGATTCCAGACAGATTCCTTCATGTTATGAAAATCTGGACTGTTTAAAACAAGGCAAAAAACAAAAGCACCCTCTGGGGAACCAGCCCAGAGACTCTGTAGTGAGTGAGCCCAGGAAGAGGTGGCCCCAGCCTGTATCAGCACCTTTCGACTTTCCGGAAACTCAGAGAGACAGCAGGTGTTCAAGTCACAGGAGCCCGTTCAGAAGGGGAGCTGAGGAGTCAGTCCAGTGAAGACAGATGAAGGGAGGCTGGCTGCCGTCCCCGCCCCTCACTGTCCCTGTCCCCAGACTCAGGGCGCCAGGGAGCCTCACTTCCCTCTGAGGGTTCAAGGGCTGTATCTACATTCGCCTCCGTGCCCGAAGCCCTCGGCTCCTTGTCTGCACGCCCCCACACCCACGTTGGTGCTCAGGCCCCGGGTCTGCGTGTCTGGCTCACACGGTGCTCTCACTTGGCAGCCTCTCCCTAAGGCTGCTCCGAGGTGGACGACACAGCAGGAAGCTTTTTGTCCTTTTGCTCCTAAAGCCAGCCGGGCACGCGAGGCTCAGCGGTTCCCTGATTCACACAGTAAAGGAAGGGACTCCCGCTCTTGCTGTCTCTCTGCAGAAACCAACCCCCCAGGAGCTCAGAAACCCACAACCAAGTACCTGGTTTGCTGTAGAGGCTGCTGAACACCTTGAACACGGTGGGGCAGGGCACCGTGACGGTTTCGCCAACGTCCGCTGGGCGCCAGCATGTGAGGTTGTCCCAGACACCACTGCAGGCTGGGAGGGGACAGAATGACGGCAGAGGGGACAGAGGCCCGTCAGCGACAGGAGGACCAGGCTGACAGAATTGGGTGTTTAAATGCTTTGCAAACAGAAAGCCCATTCGTGAGATAGTTATCTGGCAAATAATTATTCTGTGAACTAAATGTGCACCAACAATATCACCAAGCATACACTTAGCGGCGTGTTCCTTTTAATCAGCTTTGAAAAATAACCGGACCTACGGCAGACAGTGTCTGAGCAACTCTACATGCACGGTGCCTTCTGAGTTTTAATAGAATTATTAAATTATTTCCTGCTGATGTGATGAAATTCAGGAATCATTCATCATTAGACAGTAAAATGTTGAACTAGAATTTACACGGTGCCAGCAGCCCCCCAGACTCCCTGAGAACTGCAAAGGTAAAAAAAGAACTTTATAGTCAATATCCTGGGGACCACTTTTAACTGAGGGATCAAACATCCTAAAGGGACATCGTGGGACGTAAAGGGCCACCAGCCTTGCATGTGGTGGGAAGTGGCAGCGAGGCCGTACCCTCCCTCCCTAGAGTTACGTCCACATTGCTGGGAGGTGGCCCCCAGGAGGGACGTCTGCCTGGCACTGAGGTCATGAGCAAGGGCCTAGAAAAGACCGGGCTGGTTCGTGGGGGCGAGATGAGGCTGTGGGGGCCCTGCTGGGACCAGCTCAGAGGCCTGCGGAGGCCTCCAGTAGCTCCCCTCTTCCGCTTCCTGAGCTCACTCTCGTTCCTTGAAGATGAGGGCCCTGCTTCTTGCTCTGCGTTCTGGCAGGAAGACACGGAACCAGATAAAGCCTGGCATCGCAGCAAAGCCACACTCCACCCCCGGGCAGGTCTGGACGGCTGGCTGCGATCGAGTCCCTCCTCACAAGGAGATCAGAGGAGCCACCTCCAGGCTCAGCTTTGCAGCTGCCTCTCTGCCTGTCGGGGGCCGTGACCAGCGAGGAGACGCCTACCGGTCCTCTGAGCTCGAAAATCCTGATCTAAGTCTTTAAAGGGTGAATTATCTTCAAGTTGCTGTCAAAGCCTTTGACTTGTTTGCTTTCCAGCCCCCTAGGGTCTCTCATCAATTTAAAAGCCTAGGAGCCGACTAGAATGACTCACCAATGGAATTGGAAAAATCCTTTTTAAAAACTGCCCTGTCCTTTCCTGTGAACCCGGCCATTTGCTGGAACCTGAAACCCAGCCAAGCAGACGTCGCTGGCCTCCCGGGGCGGGTCCCAGGGCCCCCGCTGCACGCAGCTCCTGCTGTGGGTGCTGCGGGACCCTTTTCTCCGAGGTGCTCACAGCAGGCAAAACACACAGGCCAGTCCTCAGGGGCCCTGGGCCTGGAAGCCCGTGACCAGTGTGCTTTCCTCATGGTGGATGCCCCAGGCTAGTGGGTGCCCAGGTGTCCAAAGACCACCGACATGGCAGCCCCGCCCTCTGACCTCTCCCTGCCCAGGAGATCAGCAGCCATCCCACCTCAGGGCCTCAGGGCCCATAAAACTCATCCCGTGTCCTATGGCCAAAGCCCAGACATGAGCTAGAAACTCCAGTCGGGATTCCACTTGCTGGGAAGTTGCCCCCGGACAGCGCTTTGGAATCAGACCAGTTCAGGCCTTACATCTGGAGGTAGCAAGGTTTTATTTTGGGGGGGACGGTCCAAGTGGATTTCATCAGTGGGGAACATATGCTGGGACTTGAATTAACATTAAACCAAGACTCAAAACCCGGAACTAACCAAGGTTGCTCCCTGAACATAAGAAATTTTCATGGAAACGGAGAGAAACCCAGTTTGTACCTGTGTATTTGAAAAATACGCTGAATGCGACGATCCCCAAACTTAAAAACATCCCGAGCTGAGTGGATGCGGAGCCTGTGGTGGGATCCCAGCCCGGGACTGCACCCAAGGGTGGGGCAGACACAGAAAAGGCAGGGAGCATTTTCAGGCCTCAAACAGGCATGGGAGAGGTGCCCTTGGGACCCTGTGTGGCCACAACCCCCATGAGCACATGCGGAGCTGTGGCTAACGCTTGTGCCTTCCACCCATCAGGTGTTTGCTGTTGTTGTTTTATAAACAGTTGCTGTTTCCTACTAATAGATTAAAAATTCCCAAAAGCTCCCCTCCAACGTCTGTGCCGACTTGGGACTTCGTTGGTGTCACGTGAACTCTGGCTGACAGCACTGGGGACACTTTGTCTGAGGCTTGAGGGGGGCAAAGAGGCCGGGACTCAGAGGGCGGGTCCTCCATGCTGTTCCCAGGATAATCTTCTGCAGATTTATGCTCGGGACTTGGGCGACTTCCCGGGACCAGTCCAGACATCTATCTACAGTATTATGACGGGCGAGACACGGCTCAGCAGAGCACAGTGCTGGTACCCCGAGTGTCAGGACAGCCCAGTCCGTAGATGCCCGGCTGTGCGCCTCCTGACTCTGCAGTCGCAGCTTTGAGACCAACAGTGCCACCCTCTGCAGGGCCACAGGACTGGTGTGTCCAGCTGCCGAGGCCCCAGAATGTCTGCAAGTCAGCGTCCTAGTCCCGTTCTAGTGACCTCACGGTCCCCCCACCCCAGTGCGGAGCCTCCCCTGGGCCCTCCTGCCCGGCACCTGGCGCACAACCCTCAGTGTCCTGACCCAGCCTCTCGCCCTTCCCGCCTCCTTTCGGGGCCACACCTTCCAGTCTGCCCTGAGCAGCTCCTCCTCCTGCCCCAGGACCTTCTGCCAAAAGTGCTGCCAGTGCCCCGACCTCCCTCACAGCCCCTTCCTCCTGCCTGGTGCACGCTCCCCACCTCAGACCTTTGGCTTTCTTCTCTCTTTGCATTCTGGAAGAGCAGGTCGCCCACTGCCCACCACGGGGACCGGACGCGCTCTGTCCTCATCTCCTCCATCCTGCGTCCGCCCCGCCCACCTGGTGGGGTGGCTCTGGGGCTGCAAGGCCACGCCGGGGACACGGCCGCACTGAGCTGTGTTCTTGGGCACTGGTGGCCTCGAGTGCCTCATGGACATCTTGGCAGAATTAAGTGAGTCTCGGCGATGAATCGATATTAACTCACTAAGTTCTAAATACCTCCTGAGCTCTTCTTTCTTACAAATCACCCCACTGGAATTGAAAACCAGTGTTTTCTTCCTCCTGGCCCTCTTTCACCCCAATTTCTTAATCCCACAGAATTTAAAATTAGCTGCTACAGACCCTTAATGCGTCATCTCACTTTTAATTCCAGGAAGCAAAGGTACAATATTTACGGATGGACTCACTCATCCGCCCAGCGAGGACGCTCGCACAGCTCGCCGAGCCTGCCCGACCTCGTCTGCAGCCCCTACGTTCTGGTAGCTCGGTGCTATTTATGTCCCTGGCATCTGAGCCATGCACACTGCAAGCAGGAGAAAGAAAAGGAGCTCAGGACACGCTCTGTCCTCCAGAGCTGCTCTCCGGCTGACGGGCAGCTGGCCCGTCCGCAGGCTCTTCCTGCCAGGGGGGAAGGTGGGTGTCAGCTGCACGTGTGTCTGCTACAGAGCCAACGTTAGCGATCAGAGCCTGTGCTGCAAGGAAATGCCCAAGGACTGGTACTTGTCGCTGCGAGAAAACTGACATTCCCCCTCCACTCCAGACACAGGGGACGTTTCACGGCCTTTATCTGAAACTGCCAAGTTCTTTCTGCTCAGGCTGAAGGCAGGACGAACTTGGTGGTTTTCACGTCTCTGCCCCAATACTGTCATCCAGTCCATCTGACATGGGTCACACACAGGTCACCTCTGAGGGCGTCAGGACAGAGGCAGGAGGAGCCCAGCGAGGGCTGAGGGTGTGCCGAGCCATCTATGGCCCCGGCCGGGCAGGCTGGGGCCCACCACTCCCAGGCAGCGTCGGCCACACAGAGGTCTGCCTGCCTCCTGCAGAGCTGTGTAAGTACCACTTGCAAACTTTTAAGAAATGGGAATATGTTAGGTAAAGTCCATCAGTCCTCTCCTTGCCCTGTGGCCACAGCTCACAGTCATGAATGCTGGCCAGGGACCCGGGCTCACACCTGTGCCCTCCTGACAGAGTAACACGAAAAGAACAGTGTTTTCAACGTATGAACACCACACTCCATCTACAGCAGCCAACCAGAAATCCTGGATCTTTTACAAAAAGTCCTGATTGTGGGTCAGAACATTCCACTTCACGATGGCAGAGGACCTGAGCCCCTGAGTCTCCCCTGACAGCCTCTGTCCGGGGGCGTCACCGGCACAGACTTATAGATGGTCCTTCCACCATCCTCCATCCGTGGTCCAGTCCACCCTGACCCACTGCGAAGGGCTGTCCTCAGGGATAGTCATGGGCAGGCTCCCTGTCACCCAAGAGGACCACACCACTTTCTATTGCTAACAAAATGTTCCTGCTGGAGGTAGGAAATCAAGAGTAACAGGAAAGAAACACACGGAGTATCTCAGGAGTTTCTCTCTGAGACACCAGTTACGAGAGGGGCACTATGTGCTGGGAATTTACCAACAATAAAACTGACTACCTTGGGCCAGCAATGCCACCAGTGAAATTCTCCTCCCTCCCCCGTTTCGGGAGTATCTGTGTCCAGAGCTGTGGCTGGGACCTGGGAGGTGTGTCCTGTAGAAGCTGCAGGAATCAGAAGTAAGTGCCCAGGAAGAGCGAGCAGAGTCTACACATGCTCTTTAAAGGTTGGAAGATGCTCGTGTGAAGTTCTTTCTTCCATGGCTGAGCAAGGGGGGCAAATTAATGCCACTGTGGGCAGCCCCAGGCCCATCAGCAGCTCGACTGTGCAGTAACGGTGTGAGCGGGGAGTCCCGTCCCCAGGGTCTTCACACAGGGCCGGGGTCACCTACTAGGGATTCTGGAGAAGCCACTGCCGCCCACCCGCTACTGCGGTGTGTGGAGAGGAGGTGGGATCGCTGGCCACTAACTAGATGATTCTAACAGCTGTGTTCCGTCTCCTCTCTTCCTAAATCTCTTGGTGTTCACTGAAGGGCATGGACCCCAGTGGCCATGACGACTGTTTTGTCGGGAGGCCCTGGTTGACAGGGCCCGTGTCTCATCTATCCTTGTAGCTGGTCAGCAGTCAGCACATGGCTTTGACAGGACAGACACTCGGTCCCTGTCTGCTGTGGAGCTGAGCTACTTGGTTAGTGTTTCTCTGGACAGTTTAACCAGAGCATGAGGAAGATCTGTCCACCAGGACCGCACGTGCCACCGAATCACAGCTCTTTACAGCTGGGAGGAACCCTGGAGCCAGAGGCCTCGTCAGCTGAGGAAGTGGACAGGAGGGACACTCGGTCTAGAGCAGCACTGCCCAGCGCGGGAGCCGTGCCGCGGGTCCAAGCTGGGACGCACTGGGTTTCTGCGACTTAGCACACAAAAGAAAATGTAAAATTTAAAATGTAAAATTTCTCATTAATATTTTATGTTCATTACAAGTTGAAATGATAGTGATTTGGATATATTTGGATACATAAAATGTACTGTTAAAGCTGTACTGTTTCTTACTTGCTTTCATGTGGCTCCTAGAAAATTCAAAGCTACCCAAGTGGCTCCCAGTCTGTTTCTACTGGGCAGCGCTGGTCGTGCATGAAGCCCGCATCTGCCACTCCGGCCTGAGGTCCTCCACGCACAGCCGACTGCCTTAACACAGAACCTTACTTTGACTTGAAATTTTTTGTGGAAGAAGGTAAAATAAGGACACAGAACAGAGAGGACGGCTGAAGGACAAACCGTTGTGCTACTGTTTATAACCTGGCTGTTACCCCAGGACCTTCTGAGCTTATAAAATGTGGATGTGCCCAGGTCGAGGGCACCTAGTCCCAGTATCTGTCTTTGACCCGAAGAAAAGAAAACCAGCAAGTTTGCTGTCTTCACGATAGGTCTGTCCTCAGGAGAACAAAAGTCTCATTTTCCTGTCTGATTTCTGTTGCGTTCCTGTTGTTCTTAACTGGACCAAAATTCTGTGATGTTACTAAGAAGTTAAAATGCAAGAAATAGATAAATACTCATGGAAAGTGGAGTTGCTCTTGCAAAGCATAACAACACCCATGAAATAATTTTAGTAACAGTTGCTATTGTCTCAAACCATGGAAACTGTTTCTGTTAAGGATTAAAGCTTTCTTTTTAAAGGTTTCCCCTCCATATGAGTTTTACCAGAAGTTTATTAAAGATACAGGTGACCTTAAAACACCCGTTTGAGGTGTGAGCTATCTGCTGGTCAGGTTGCCCATCTCTGGGGCAGCCTCACCCTCCAGGCCCTCGCCTTACCTTTGTATGTCTCTGTCTGAGCCCGTAGAAGCTCTGCACATTTTGTTTCTTCCTCCTGTATTTGCAGATGAATTTGGCATTCTGGGTGAATGCTGTTCACCTGGTCAAGGTTAAAAAGAAAACAGAAACTAAGAATTCCATCCTAAGAGGACACTCAAGCAAATGTTCTACAAAAAAACCCCCACATTGCAGAGTTGTAACTGCTTCCAAACTAACGCTCATTTGAAAGCAATCGCCTTCGTATTTATGGCATGGTTATTTAAAAAAAGCTTCACTGCCCTGGCTGGGGGGGTTCAGTTGGTTAGGCGTTGGCCTGTGCACCAAGGGGTCACCGGTTCCATTCCCAGCCAGGGCACATGCCCGGGGTGTGGGCTCGATTCCCAGTAGGGGGCGTGCAGGAGGCAGGGTGTTTCTTCTTTCTCTCTCTCTTCCTCTCTCTCTAAAAATCAGTGAGGGGAAAAAATGTTTAAAATAAATAAATAAAGCTTCACTATTTAATTTGTGAAGGAATTATAAAATATAAAACCCAATACAGCCCAGCCTGGAGTGACTCAGAGGTTGAGCATCGACCTAGGATCCAGGAGATCGCAGTTCAATTCCCGGTCAGGGCACAGGCCCAGGTTGCGGGCTCCATCCCCAGTCCCGGGCGTGCAGGAGGCAGTCGATCAATGACTCTCTCATCATTGATGTTTCTACCTCCCTCTCTCCCTCTCCCTTTCCCTCTCTGAAATCAGTAAAGATATATTTTAAAAAATAGTTTAAAACCCAGTAGATTTTTTTCTGAGCAGCTGAAACAAGCTTGGAAACAGAACACACTGCAGGCCGTTAGTGTACAATTTGGGGGCAATGGAGCTCTTTAACCCAAGAACCTTCCAACATTGAGTCCTTCCTCCGTTCCACAGCCCTTGGTTTCAGGGCAGTGAAGACAGGTCCACAGGGAAGACCCCTGAGGAGCATTCCCCAGAGGCCAGCAGGGTCCAGCTGGGGGTGGCCTCCCGTGGGGTGGACGAGCCTGAAGCGCTGAGGTTATCTCCGAGGCTGCAGGTCACGCTCAGGACTTGGCCTGAAGGAGCTTTGCACTAAGGCAGAGGGGAGGTGGGACGAGGGGGTGGAGACAGGCGCTGGCCTCCACTGAGCAGGGTCAGCGGAGCGGAGACAAGGCGGTGACCCTACTGTCCACTCGCGGGAGCAACCGACCAGCCCGCGGGCTTGTCCTAAGGGCACATTCTGCTGCGTTTTCCCAAAGGCCCCACGTTCTCAGAGACACTGCGGCGCTGGCCGGAGCCGGGCCCCGCACGTCTGAACAAAGTTCTACTTTTTCCAAAGAAGATCGCGCCCCGGGCGCTCTCGCCGTTTACTTTCCCCGCTGCCGACAGACCGCGAAAGGGTCGGTGCGGTTCCCTCGGGGAGCAGGGCCTCCGGGGAGCGCAGAGAAGGGTCCTTGGGCCACACGCATCTTCATTTTTCAAACAAGCCCTGGAGCTGTTGTGCCCCCGCGCCGGTCGCTGGACGGCCCCAGCT